TTTTGCACGTTTCCGAAACGCTCGTCTACGGGACTTCTTTGCGACTTGCCAAAAGCCATTCTCAAAGAGAGCGACGAGAGAACAAGTTGAGGAACGTAGGAAAGATTGCGAAAGCGTATCTGACTTTGCTCTTTGACCGCGCAAAAAGGAAACCTGCTGATTAGTTTACAGGTTTAAGGGTTCGATGTTGCTGTGAGCATTCTTGCCAATGTACTGCAATTTTATTTGGTGATAGTTTAGTCAAAAATTGTCAAATTGGGAGGGGGGGGATTGGATAGGTTAAACATATTCAGAACATCAGTAATACTCGATTTCGAAGGTTCCAAACAACACATCATGTTTTTTGGTTATATTAACAGAACCACGAATGTTTCTCGCGCTAGGACGAGTACCAATGTTGCCAACATTGCCAATATTACTCACATTAGTCATATTGCTAATTCGTTTAATGTTGTAATACTGGTAATATGCTCATGATGTTTTTTAGTAGTGCTTCCAATACTGTGAATACCAATAGTCATAACATTGCCATCGCGCCAACATGATGCAGCTCACAAACACTAATACGTAAACAAGCAGCAGATGGAACAATTAAAGCTGTAGAAAGTAATCAATCATTACATTTAAGTTGTACAACACAGGTGCGGAGGGTTGATCATATTGCTGCTGCTAAATGCATGAATGGGTTGGATGTGTGATTTCTATAACAACGCAAACATCATTCGCAATTGTACCCACACACACACAAAGCGAAGTTGACTCGAACGCCCACAGACAAAGCGAAGCTTACTCGGAAGCCAACCCACGCTTGAAAGTAGAACGTATGGACAAAAACATCAATGGGAACATTGATCACAAAACAGACGCACACAAACAGAAGTTTGACAGTTCAAGTGTAGGGAGTAGTTTCTGCGAACAGATTGTACTTGCAAGCGCACGAAGCAACCAGCCCACAAAAATGTCAATGCTGACAATGACACAAAACAAGCACACACAAGCAATTTTGACAGTTCAACTGTAGGGATTCGTTCGTGCGAACAGATTGTCCTCGCAAGTGCATGACAATCCAAAAGCACAAGCAACCAGCCCACGCAAAAACTTTATGCGAACATAAAACTGATATGACATAAGCTTGGAAGTCGTAGGTGCATACCATTACAGATGTAATTTTATTTATATTTGTATTTAGACTAGGTCTTTTAAGTAGTAAAGCAAGGCACAAGACAAAATAGACCCTAAAGGTTGCGGGCTCATATATATATATGGAGTTTGACATAGTTCGTGCGCCTAGGGCCTAAGGCAGGTCATGACGGCATCCTCAGATTTATGGATGCTAGTGGACCCCCTTGATGTAGACGTAGACTCAATCAATGTAGACCACATGACTTGAGAGCAAGAAGCGATACTGTAGCTGCAGACACCCCAAAAGTGTTGCGGGCCTGCCCCATCTCCCAATCCATGCCGTCCGCCCCGCCCTGCCCCACAACGATCCTCAGAAAGTCGGGACAAGCAATGGGGGGAAGCAACCACTGAGTGCATCAGGCTCACCGGCCAAGGCTCCGAGGCGAGAACTTTCCGGCGATGCCTTGGTCCTCCTTGAGCGCAGCACCTGAAACTGGCGGCGGCTCGACTTAATGACTTAGCCACGAGGGCTTTTCTGAGCTTGGCAATCTTTTGCAGGTGCACATCTGATCGGTGTTGCTTGCTGCTTTGCTGCACATGCTACAGTGCACACTTGAAGCGGCAATCTTGGAGCTGCGCAGAGTCGACGCGCGGCTGCGCGAGTGACGACGAAGACCAACACGCGGCTGTTTGCGTGCAAAGGTTCCAGCACCTCCAAGACCCAAGAAGAGTTTCCTAGCTCCAGAAATGATTCCGAAACAGCAGACAATGTGGGTAAATTACATTGAGAGCACGCAGAGAGACTTCTTGCCTTCGCAAGTTCCAGGAGCTGAGGTGACTTGTGTCCAGCTGGCAGTCGTGGGCAATCCTGCGTTCAGTCTGCGTTCAGTCTGCAACCCCTTGTTTCAGCACTCCCCAACAGATGGACTCGGAGTCGGATTTCAGCTCAAGAGCCGCCTTCAGAGCCCCGGCCAGCCAGGGAACAGCTTCCGCTTCCTCGGCCAGCTGCTTCTGTAGATCTGCTGGGCCAACCACCAGGCACACCTCCATCATGGCAACCACCTGCCACAAGGTGGGTGCTCTGTCTGGAAACGTACGGAGCAGCTGCCCAACTGCACCAACCTGGCCTGATGGAGGGCCTGCACTCCTCTGAGATTTTGCTTGGACTCCAGGCTGTCCTCGCAAAATTCAGTGTGAAGTCTCAGTACCAAGTCACTGCGACATGGAGGATGCCGCTCCAAGCAGCATGCAGTTTGCCACAGCTGCACTACAATACAATCCGTTGTCACGCTCAACAACTCTCAGCAGCCCGCATGGCAGTGAACCTTGATCCGCAAGGAGTCCTGCCCAAAACACAGAAGGCTGGCATGCGACATGGGCGTTCCTGGATTCAAAAAAATAACATTGCAAGCGATCCTTAAAGCGTCCCTTTTCCGTGGAGGCTTGTGGTTTAGCGAAGATATCCGCAACTCACAAGAGGCTGAAGTGACTACAACCTTATGTGCTGGGATCGGTTCTGGCATGTCTGTGATGGCCTCCACTCCCCGCAAGGCTCCACGCCAGCGCCCGAGACACGACGCATCGTCTAGGAGACGCCTCTGGCATGCCGAGAGTAACGTGCAGCCACCTCTGACACCTTGAACGTCAAAAGCATCGCCTTCTATGACACGCACCGGAGCCAGGGATCTGAAGCGTTGATCCTGCAACTAAAGAGGATATGTTTCGCACCGTGCCGTCCAGGCTGCTCAGCGTTTCCAAAATCATCAGGGACGCCGCCAGCTCCTTTGCAGTTCAGTTGAGTTTTGGCTTCATGCCAATTTCGCACGACCCATGCGCCCGGTGAAAAAAACACATGCTCAAAGAAATTCGTAGATCGGGACTGCAAGCTGCACGGTCATCCAAATTGCTGCTGGGCAAACCTCATGCCGCCATGCCAGACAGATTCGTCACACTTGCCCCTCATGGCAAAGCCGATCCTGTCAGGCTCATCTTGCGAGCACCTGCTTGGAGGCAGCCTGACACGCGGGCACTGAGGGTGCGCCCTCTCAATGTGGATTGGGCCTATGGCTGTGCTTGATACCTTCCGACGAACCATAAGAAGCCCTGCTCATCTGCAAGCTCCTCTTGTGCCCTGCCTGAAGTGCCTAGCTCTTGGTGTTTGCACCATCTGCAAACCACCCAGCTTCACCCTCAAACACTCCACCACACCCTCACAAGCACTCATAAGAGCGCGCCCGCGCCTGCCAGCCAATTCAAGCAAAGATGTTGAGATTCTGAGGGGTCCAAGATCACCCAGTCCTGGGTGCCCCTTGAGGCGGCGCGAGCAAACTTCCTCAAATGACTCGTAAAAGGCTGTCGATAAGTACCCCTACTTCTTCAGGTCAGGCCTATACTTCTTCAGGTCAGGTTGACATCAGTGCATCCGTTGTGCTGAGGCCTTAAATGTCTTGATCGGTTTTATTCTGCCCGGCAGCTGTGGTCTGCTGTGCCTTCGTCAGAGTAGGCGGTTTGAAGACGGCGGCCCCTGCAAAAGCTGCCTGACAAAAGCTCCACACTACATCTCCTCAAGCATCCTCTAACTTCAGAAGCTGCCTGTGCAAGTGCTTTGTGGCATGCTGCAAGAATCGCTGCTGACATGTCGCAGAAGATGTAGAGTAGGCATGCATCATGTACTCATCCTAGTCAATGCCGGCTATTCAGTCGGTGCGCATCCCAGGTAGGCAGTAAAAGACCCAAAAATTAACCCCAGAGTTCTTCCTTGACCAACTTCTTCCCCTGGCGACCTCACTGTTACCATGCAAAGTGCTCCTGTGCTATAGCTGCTATAACCCACGATAATCGAAGAGCACTGCCAGTCCGAATTGATGTCCCTCAAAAGGCCGCAAGGTCGGCCTGCAGCTCTCGCAGGCGCTGCTCCGCAAGCTTGGAACCTCGGTATACAGGGCCGAATTTCTCCAAATGCTCTATGCGATGAATTATGATGTGGTGTGATCAGTAGGGTGTACCCGTTCTCAAGGTCTTAAGAGCCTTGAAGTCGGTTCTGTCCTGGACAGGGTAGCGAGGGACCAGGTGGAGGCTGCCTCCTCTTCCTTTGCCCCACCCTGTTCAGGGCTTCAGGCTTTTGGGGCCTGGGGCTTCTAGGCATGCTGCCCTCAAAGATTCTCGCTAAATGCCTCCCCCCACCTTAAGTTCTTGAACCCTGATTCGATGCCCTGATCCAGCTTGCTCTGAGCGGCTCAGTGCCGCAAATGGAGAGGCCGTAAGCCCGAGAAGTCGCGGGCGGCGGGGTGCGGGCAGGTTCCTCACCTTGCCCAAGATCCTCGGGTTTTCGTGGCACCGTTTTCAATGATTCAGTCAAAGCCTGCTGAGACTTTGTTGACTTTGTTGTTGCAGAAAGGCTGGGGAAACCCGTGCTGTTCGCACCCCTGTCCTTGAGAAAACATGATCGCCGGAGACATGGTGTGCCTCGTCCACCACCACAGTTGAAAACATGTCCAGGCTCAGCTCCTCCTGGCAGGAAGTGGAGCCAAACATTGACTCCAAAACCGTTCAAGCCAACAAACTACAATGCTCCACCACGATGTAAAGCTTTCGGACGGGCCTCCTTAATTTGAACCTTCGGAGTTGCCTTGATACCACTTCTGCTCCCTGTGTCCCGCAGTCCTTGGCTAGCATTTCCCAAAATGCGCCGCCTGTGACCACCAGTACTTCGAACGCGCCGTCCTGTGCTGAGCACTGGGTGCAGAGGAGTCGCACTTACCACTATGAAGGTTTTGAGAAAAGAGGGCTGACATTGGCCTGTGCCCCACTTCAACCCATTTCTATGGCTTCCCTGGCAGCACGGAGAGTCGAACAGCTCTTGCAGCTCTTGCGCTGTGCTAGCTCTCCTTCAGCTCCCGCATTGTCGCTTTGGTCTTGTTCTCGCCGCACACCCGGCAGACCTTCAACTGTGTCTCCATCGATATCGCAGCTCCCTGCTGAAAGACCAGTGGGACTCGATCAACGATGAAAAGGCCCATGCCTCAGGTGGACAACTGAATAGCTATAGGATGCTATGTGCGCGTCTCGTCCAGCAGAAGGCAGAAGAGGACAGCTTGCAGCCACTGCGCATTTATGAAGTTAAGGATGAATTTGCGACTGCTTCCAACACTGGCGTGCCGCTACTACTGTTCAACAGCGCAGCGTGTTCAATTCAAAGCAAGCTTGACAGGGCACGATTGGGGTTCAGCCGTGCCATACGCGCCAAAAGCAGTGCTGCAACCAGGGTCTTGCCACAGCCCGTCGGGAATATGACCAGAAGATCACGAGCCAGGCATTCTACAAATGCTTCTATTTGATATGGCCGCGGCAAGGTGTCTGTGAGGCCGTGCCAAGAGAACTCTTCCAGCTGGGCTGCAAGTCTCACATCCATTTTGGGATTCATGACCACCGTCTCAGGTACTTGCCCCGAAGCGAAAGAATCAGTTTCAGATGGCGGCACGCTTGCAGTGGATGCTTTAGGCCCAAAGAAAGTGTCGTCGGTCCGGACCTCAATCCTGCGAAATGGCTCATGCCGACACATCTCAGCCCACTTCTGCTTCTTGCCCAAGGGTGTGGCCAAAACCACCACGGAATCAGCGGCAAAACCAACGAACGGCGTGCTGCTTGGACCAAAAGGCAATTCCGAGGCGACCCCGATGTTGCAACTTCTGCAGATTACTTTTGCCTTTTTCTTTGCAGGCTCCTGGACAGTCATAGTTTTGTCCAGGGCATAACGGCATTCAGGGCGGAAGATGAGGTGTACTTCGCCTCGGCAGGTGCACAAACATCCCGACGCGCACTCTCCACTTCCGCTACAAAGCTGGCCGACGCCTGGCAACTGACAAAAAGAAAAAAGAAGCTGTCATGAACGGGACTGACTTGCATGCAGGGTACGCTCGCTCTTGTGATAGAAGCAGAGGTGGTCGACTTTGGCAAGGCATGTCTTGCACCCATAGCATTCCATGGCATTTTTCTTGCTAGCAGCTTTTACGAGAGCAACTTTGTGAGGGACGCGGCCGCGTGAACTCACTTGTTCTGAGCGGGAGCTGGCTGTACAGCTACCGTGGCTCAGCCCGCACGACGAAGCGATAGTCAAAAACTACGCCAAATGTAGCCATTGTCCGGGAGGTTCAAAAGTGCTTAAAGAGTTTACAGCTTGATGTCTACCAACCTCCTCGACCTCGACACTTCGTAGAGAATAGGTTTCCTTCATTTCTTGCGACCTTGGTTACTCTTACCTACCAGTTTTCTGAAAACCACCTTTATGCCAGGACCCGGCACCCGATCTCACAAGGGCTGCTATTTTCTGTCGTGCCCGCGATCGCCTCGCCGAGGCCGCGAACCTCCGGGGTTCGCACAGAAGGTGCCATTCTTTGGGGAGGTGTCGGGGGTTTCAAGGTAGGGGTTGGGGTCGGGTAAGGCTCCATCATCGTACGGTGCGTTGAGGAATTCGTGGCCCAGGGTCAGTTCATTTGCGGAAGACTGCCAACGTGCTCAAACCAGAATCACCATCTTCTGCCGTGAAGTCAGGGCTCTTCGCTGCGAGCATGCGTGACACGGGTTGCAACTGCTGGGAACAAAAAAGACAATGCTGCCGGGATGTGCCCTTTTCACCCAAAACCTATGAAGGAACGGCCAGTGGGAGTGGGCTGGACCCCCACATGGGATTCCCTTACAAGGGCCCCAATAAGGTACCCTCCCCTTCTTTCGTAAACCCCCAGAAAGTTGCACCATGTTGGGTGGCTCTGTTTTTCTGACCCTCTTAGCCTTGGCCCAGAGCCAAGCAGTCGGGACTTTCAAAATCAGCATCGGGGGACCAAACCCTAAATTCCTGCAAGCCCTAAATCCTTCCTTCACCGACAATGTCGCTTCACTCCGAGAAAGGCATGCTGCTTTCTTTTTGCTCCGCATGAATTGGTGGTCGTGCTGGGTTTTAGTGCTGATGAGCTGGAGATTGATCGACCGATAAAAGTTTTCAGCCAGCACACAGCTTCCCAAGCAGCCTGAAGTGATGTTTGAACACCTTCACGAAACGCACCTTAAAAATCCGAAGCGACCTTACAAGCTCACGTACGTGGCCCTATGGGCACTGCGAGCAAGACTGTGGAAAAGTCGGTCGAAGTCATCTTCGATGCACTTCTTCGACACCTCCAGGGCCACTTTGATGTTAGCGCGCAGAACCTTGTCAATCTCTTCGAAACTACCCATCTCCTCAATCACCAAGGACCTGATGGTGTCTTGGTCCTCGGGCTGCGTGGCCTCTGCGTTGGCCAAGGACAGCTCCGCGAGGCGCTTGCCGATGTTGAGCGCCACCTGCCCGCGCAGCTTCGAAGAGGCAAGCTACCCCGTGGTTATGCTTTTTTTGGGCCACCCGCCTATAGCACTCCGGTGGTAACCGTCGTGGTTATCGTGAGTCTCTCTTCAAGGGCGACTCCCTCCTTTCCCTGGCATCCCAAACGCGAAGACAACCACTAAAGTACCCATATCCTAGAAGAGGATCAGGCCATGAGGGATAGGAGCGGTCACCAACAGACGATGGGCCGACCCCTATGTCCCCCTTCTTAACAGTGACATGGGTCCTCCGGGCTGTTCATGTACGAGAACGTTGGGCCACCGAAAAAAGCCTCCTTTGAAACACTTTCAGGGCGTCCTGTGCCGGCAGTCCAATCATTCAACCCTAAGCCCTGCAAGCCCTGCAAACCCTCAACCGAGGCCCCCGTTAATCGCAAAGCGCACCTCCGTGGTGGCCCGGCCAATATTCACGACGCCGGTGTTCGTGCAAAACCTTTGCTTCGGCAATGCTACGGGGCTGCGAAGGACTCAGGGTTCAGGGTTTTCTAGGGGCTACTACCCAGAACAGAGCCAAGAAGCTGCAGTCCCTTGAAACTGCTGCGCCTCTTCTTGAGGTTCATCGTTTGCAGTAGCTCCTGTGATTGTCAGATAGAAAGTGCAGAGCTGGCTTTGTACTGTCGAGGTTTTCGAGCACCAATCCTTCAATTCCACAAACCCTAAAACCTAAACTGAAGTGCTTGTGGCTGTAGGCGGAGCGTTTAGGGCTCATTCACGGAAACAGCTCCGGCCATAACTTCCAATTCTAGGTCAACTCCTGCATACTTTGAGTATTCAAGCTAAGAAGCATGCTCTGATTCTTTAGAAGCGCTTGTGCAACTTGAAGAATCTTGCAACGGGTGTCTCAACATGTCTCAAAATCGAAATTTCACCGGAAACCCCCGCCCCAAAACCAGCGAAGGTTCGAAGAGGCACCAAGATCTGGTAAGGGGAAGCGCCCGCTCGTCCAGAATCATGCAGGTACCCTGAACAGCGGGGCTGTGCAAGGCCAGGTAGAAAGAAGATTCGTAGTGAGTCATGCCAAGCTCCTCCTCAATCCGATGTTGGTTGTTGCTGAAGGCGCAGATCCAGTATGAGATGAACTGCCAGGACTCGCCGTCTTCAGAAGCAGCTGCTGTCTGGGCATGCCGCTTCAAAGCATCGCAAGTGTACGCAAACTTTGTGCCCCAATAGTGAGAAACGAACCAGGCAACGCGAGAGGGCCCGAGAAGTTCCGCCAAGGATAGCTCCAGGGCAGAGGTCAAAGGACGAACGATGTTCGAGTCGATATAGTAAAGATTCCGATCCCTGATATACTGCTGAAATTCGTTCATGAAGTCGAAGATCTGGAAAGCTGTCAGTGCTCGATCAGGTCCCTTGCTGCAGGCTGTAGGGCACGGATTTGATGCGCGCAGCTTTTCCTGGAAGCGTGCTAGAGAGTACCAGATTGGTGACTGCTTCTGCCTGCAAAAGCTTAGGATCCTGGATATCATAAAAGCCAATATGCACACCGTGATCGCTGAAGCCAAGGCGAAGGAATGATTGTAAGGTATTTGGTACTCCTCGCTTAAGAGCACAATCAAGGGTGGCGCGCAGCAAATCAATATGGGCGCCGCTACGGCCACTGGCACGTGTGGCAGGATATCGGTGTGAACGACAGAGCGCACGTAGCGTAGCACAAAGTAGCCTTGGCTGGTGTCCGCACACTCCACCTCAGTGTCTAGAATTAGTGGGGAGCATGAACCGTCAGTTGTAAAGACCCTCAGCTATCACTAGGCCCTGAATGCTTCTGAACCCGAAAGACCCGGGCTATCTGGTTGTGTAGACCCTATAGGCAACAAGCCTGCATCCTCACCGCTCAAGTCAAAGAATTCGGGGCCAAGCCGAGACACCGGCTTGCCAAACTTATCCAAGAGCTGCAAGCTTCGGCTACCAAGAACACGCACACGGTAGAAGTAGTCCTTGCCGTTCAACCTATCCAGGAGATGGTGACCTCACAGAGGTTGCGAGGACGGCGAGGACTGTGGGCGGGGACTCTGGCCATCAGGGTAGAACCCTGAACCCTAAACCCTGCAAGCTGACTCGCGCAGTTGGAACGGACATGTCAAGGCTCCATATCTCGGAGGCTAACTCTGCAATGCTTCTGGAAGCATGGACTGGACTGAATTCGATAACCTTCTTAAACTCCATGCATAAACCCTCTAAACCCTAAGCCTATAAACCTTGAATTGTGCAGACTGGGGCGTGCCGTTTCACCGGGACTTGGCGTAACACCCGGGGTCTATTTGTGTTCTACGGCATTATCGGGTTCAGGGCTCGCCTGTCTGGTAGAAATAGACGGGGAAGCTTCCGAAGCGATCTGAGAATCTGTGCAGTCCAGTGGTCGTGATCACTGCAGACCACTCACCGTGCTTGGACGGGCACGAAGAGATATCCTCCAGGTGTGCAGTTTGGCTTTTGCAGTGTCACAGAGTAGAGATGAGTAAATAAGGTGCTTCGGGCTGCAGCTTTGGCCGTTTGAGCACTCATTCTGTCCTCAATGCGCACCTTCCTGCCTGCCACGCTCAAACGGCGACGCCCGCCTTCATGCTCAAGCAGAAGGCCAATCTCGTACCACAGCATAACCCAGCCACAGAGATAGGACAGCCCGATTGTCATGACGATCAGGAAGTTGGTAGCATCATTGAAGACGCAAGCATCTCGCAGCCTGCACCATCTCGAGAAGATACGGGGGGTTTCTTGTAGTTGAGAATTGGGGGGTTCAAAGCTTCAGAGGGCGCCCTGGCCCTCCACAACCTGTACGGCCCTCACGGGACAGCTACTTTGCTAACGTGAGTTCTGCGCTGAGGCCGACATCCCAACTCGCTTCAACCCCTCAGTCTACCCACTACCTAGAAAGACAAGTTACCCAAAACGACGTGCAACTTTACCAGGATTCTTGGGTAGCAGTTGCCCCAAAATGCCCCGGCTTCTGGCCGAGAGGCGTATGGAACAAGCAGACCAGGATCTGGCTCCTTCCTCCATTCCCAGCCCGCCAAAGCTTCCTGTACACTGACCCCCCCCACCCCTCCTGAACTCATGACATGCATGGTGCTACACTATGTGGCATAGGTCTTCTTTCCTCGAGGCTGCACCCGCATTGGGCCAGCCCGGCTGCCGGGGGGGAGGAGGGGGGGAGGGGGGGGGGGGGGGGCAAGCGTATACAATCATGGTAAACTGGCTACCGCAAGCCCAATCTTCTTTTTGGAGCCAAACCTGCTCGGCTGCTGCCAAAAATAAGGGCAACGGCTGCACGGTTCGAAGTTGACACTGTACTCACCTTGGCTGCTCTTGGAACTGCGTTCGAGTGGAACTTATCATTCAGTATTCTTAATACTATTTCTTCCCATTATTCATGTTTAGGGTTCGGTTGTGGCTCAAGGACTATTGCACCATGTATTTCTCCATTTCCAGGTCGCCACGGGGGCAGATCACGCTGACATCTGCGACCAGGGTGAGGAACTCCTGCGCCTTCGTGCGTGTGACTGAGGGCCCTGAACCCTCAATCCCATATATAGACCCTCATCAACTGATTTTTCTCCTACCCCCTGTGCCTCGGTGCAGGTGGACATAGGGGTGTTTTGATATTGCGGCTGGCACCAGCACAGCTTGTACTTGCCGGCCGGTATCCTGGCTTCGGTGAGAGTGCCGAAGTTGTAGGACAAGTCCGAGCCCAGCGTCAGTCCAGCCTGAGCCTCGTAGAAGGCATCGAAACCATGACCGCAGCCACGTTGAAGTCGCATTACACTCTTTGCCGACATCCACACACCGGAGACGGTGAGTTGAAACTCCTCACCAAGGGTCGCAGTCCTCATAGTCTGCTTATTGGGTCCCCGTAAGCTGAGCATTCCAGCTGAAACGTTGAAGTCAGAGAGCGACTCACAGGCATTGTCCGTGTTATTCTCGCACCAACACAAGTTGTACACCCCTGGGCTCCTTTCAGAGATCCACTGGCCCACGGTCGCGATGTCCTGGCCATGAATGTAGGGATTGCTCCAATCCTTGTTCCATCGGAAACGGAAATTCTCGACGAAGATTTCGGGGGTATCTGCCACTGCTGAGCAGGTTGGTGCAGTCGTCACCTGCACGACGGAAGTCTCCAGCGACACAAGTCCAAAACCACCAGGGCTCGAGAAGCGGCATTTACTCTGTCCGGACACGCACTGGTGCATCTTATCGGGCGCAGGCCCACGAATGTGCAACTTGCCGATGAGGTCAGCTTCGGTCTGGGATGCAAACTGGGCCGGGCTGCAGCGACAAATGCCATACACACCCGGACTCCGAGGACCATGCGTGGCATTCAAGACAATGTCCGCAATGTCCTCCTGGATGCTAATGTAAGGACAAGCCCGGGGACCACCAGAGTGAATGCAAATCAGCTCTCTGTCTGGGACAGCTGGATCACAACAGTGGTCAAGTCCCCCTCCACATGCCTTATTTGAGCACATGGTGGTATTCGGCGGACATAGGATGCGGCCACCATGGCCATTGAGCTCACATGCCCAGCGGCTGTTGTAGTTGCCATCTGCGCAAAGAACCACGTCGACGGCGCCTGTGTCCATAGTCAGCCAGGGGCACAAGCCATCGTCTGCTTTGTGACAAGTAGGACAGCTTGAGACAAGGTTCACGTTCTCGATCCTCTCGGTGAACACAAGCAGGTCCTCTGGCGACACGTGGCTGTTGCCCAACTGCAGAGAGCACGGCCGTTGCGCCACACATTCCCAATGCTGGGAAAAATCATCAAATCCGTAGCCCAATGTCACCAAAAGGGCATGGAAGAACAACATGGCCATGTAATCACCTGGTGTATTGTCGAAGACGTTCGGGCACGTAATATGTACCCGAACTCTTCACTTGTGAAACCGGTGCAGATCTCTTAAAAGGGTGCGGGCACGCAGTGAAGAAACCTAATCACGAGGAACCATCGAGAAGCTTTCCAGACCCATGTCAAAGCAGGATGAAGGGGAAGAGGACACTTTCAAAAGACAAACCCTATACATAAAAGCAAAACAAAAACACTCGACACCCCAAAAATCCTACTGCACCGCACGACGAAAGCCGTCAAACGACCAAGGCTTGAGCCCAATCCTTGGCCTTGGTAGCGCACGATGTCCGTAATAAGCTGCGGAAGCAAACTGCGAACGCCGAGCTTGCCCAACTCTGCAGGGTTAGGAAGTTGGGATTTGGGTATTCTTAAAGGGTTTCTAGGGGAGAGGGTTTATAGGGTTTAGGGTTTGCATGATGGGGCACAGAGGCTGTGAAGAATTAGGATGCAACATAGCCTCGAAGGTGGCTTTTGCAAACATCTTTCTCTCACCCCACGCCGTCCAAAGCGGCAAAGCCACCCGATGAAAAATCCCAAATTTCGTTCTTAAACTCAAATGCTCTTTGCTTGACTGGCTTGGAGGCCTGGAGGCCGTTCTTGCAGGGTCTGGAGAGGGAAACCCTTCTAGGCCTGCAAAGGTGCTTTCGCGACGCCCTTCCACCAAGAAGCGCGAACTTAAAAAAAAGACCACAGCATAAACTGACTCCGCCGGTGAGGTTTGCTGCTTTTGCGTGGTTGTGGTCTTCTTTTCCTTTTGCTGTGGTCTTCTTTCCATATTTGCTTGCTTGTCTCACTTTGGACACGTTGGGAATACCCCACTGCAATGCTAACGCATGAAAGGGGCCTGCCAGCCAAAAAGCGCAGGTCCTGCAATCCCGACTTAAATTGCACATAAAGCAAGAAGACCATGGGAGTTTGAAGCCCCGTGAGCCCGCAAGCCACAAGTGCCAGGCAGGGCGTGCAAAAGACCCCAAGTGTTCAGGGCCTGTGTCCCCACACCTCACTACCAAAAAGAGTTGCTAGAATGCTCGTCCCATGCGCCTCGAACATGCCGAAGGAAACAACCCGTCCAAGCACGACACTACAACTACCAGCGCCACCACCACCACCACCACCACCACCACCACAACAACGACCATTGCTACAACTACTACTCTTGCTTCTGTTGCTGACAGTCAATATGACCCACCTCCACTGATGACAACCGCAGGCCGAAACCATTATGACCCCAAACCCCCACAGTGGCCCTCAGCCCGAAACCATAAGAAGCACAAATGGCTCAAGTTCCACGACTCGCCTACTCGGTCGCTTTGGGGAAACGCGCCCGGCTCTCACACAGAGTTTGGATTTGTTCCCCCTTCTGCACAGCTAGGTTCAGTTTGGAACTTAGGGTCTAGGTTTGGGCTTTGCTACAGGCTGGGTAAAGGGATCATGAACCGGAAAAAGCGCGTTTGGTAGCTCCTTTCTCCGCTGTACAAGAGGCTCCGATAAAGGTGTCCCCTGTTAGCTGAACTTCTGAGGCACAAGCTGTACACTGTACAGGCCATATCTCGAAGAGGTACGGCGCAGCGCAAGACATCAGAATAAGTCGAATTATAGGTCTTTAAGTCAAGTTCTGTAGCCCTACAGCCCTACAGTCCCAAGCCGAGATCAGCAATGGCCGCGGCTTATCGCGGGTGGCGGTACTTATTGCAGAAGTCCTGGTTGGCCTGAGCCCAAGCAACGAGTACCACTTATAGACTTTCAGACTTCGTCCTCGCCTCCTCTCCTTCCCCCTCCTTCCCCCTCCTCCCTTCAGCCCAAAGCCCGTCCTTGGAGAGAAAGGTCAGGACCTTCTCCCCATCACGCCCGCCGTCCGCAACCGCAGCCCGCCAAAGCCCCCAGAAAGTGGCCTGGCTCTGCGACGGCATATGAAGCGTGCGATGCATAATATATATATATATATGTCCATGTATCTCCCAGAGGTCCATGTACCAGTAGCACTGTTCAGGGTTTTGCGGCATCAGGCAATCCAAAGATCTGATCCCGCCCAAAGCTTCCCTTCACCTCGACCATGTGGCATGTCCTGGCATGTCGGGTTCTGAGGCGGTGGCCTTGGGCAAGGAGTGCAGGTGGGAGGAGCAGAGGTGCTGGAACTGGGCCAAGTCTGCCACGGTGGCGCGAGTGTAGGTGATGTCGGCGCCCTCCCCGCTCCACCTCAAGATCTTCTCCCTCACCTGGGCCTGGTAGATATCCATGCGCTCCCTGACGGCCAAGAGGCGCAGGGTGTTCCCATCCGTGACGTCCCCCAAGGGCTCCTCGAGGTTTCCGCCCACGTCCTTGGCGCGGCGGCTCTGGGAGCTGTCGTGACGCAAGGCCTGGACCACCATGGTGGCCAGCGTGCGCTGCAGCTGCAGCCCCTCCCCCAGGCTCCCCAAGCTTCCGAGGCTTCCCAAACTTGTGTTCAAGTCCTTCAAAGAATCCTTCAAGAAAGCGACCACGTCGGCATAGGCGGCCGGCCCTTTCTCCATGTCCTGCTCCAGACTCTCCCAGGCCCCGTGGCCCCCGTGGCCCCCACGCTGTGTCAAGCAGGCCTGGAGACGATCGACAAAGCTGAGCATTGCAATGTAGGGCTCCACCTCCTCCCAGACCCAGGCCCCGAAGTCAAAGCTGGAATCAAGGCTGTAGTCCGCACGGCACTCCTCCTCCACAGCTGCCAGACGGGGCTCCGACTCCCCGAGAGGGCGGCACTCAGGTGCGGAGTCGGGGGTGATGCTGAGGATTCGCCGGGCGAGGGCGCTTGCATCTAAACCGCCCTTCATCTCGGCATGTGCCTTGCGGGCGCAGACCTCGTTCAAGAGGTTCCGGATGGGCACGGGGTCCAAGCAGCCCTCAGGGAGATCGGTCGAGGCAAGGGCCAGCAAGACCTTGACCGGGTGCTCCACGCCATCGGCCGTGGTGAGATCCTCTGATTAGGCCCCAGCGCGAGACTACGGCAATTTCGATTCAACCTATACGTTGAGACTGAACAAATACAAAATGCTCCAGCTCGAGGCCTCCCGCATCTCCATCTTCTTGCAGAGTTCCTTGCGCTCCTCGAAGCCCCAGATCTTCCTGTGAACAGCGAATGGAAGGACTCTTGTACACCCGACGACCCGACGAGCCTGCTAATGATTTATGCCTGGCCTGGCGGAGTAGCAGATGTGGAGGCGGCTGATGATGCTGGCCTCCGTGATGGGCGCCTGCGCAGTCTCCGCCGGGAGCGCGGAGTCCGGGACTGTGCCGTCCCAGGCATCCCAGTCCTCCAGCTCCTCAGAGAACCAGCCGCAGCTCGGGCAGGCGTTGTTCACACGGCCGCCGCCTTCACCGGCCTCACCGTGGTGTGCAGCCAGATCGTAACAGTTGGTGTGCGACACCGGTCCGAAGCCGCAGCTGCCGCACTGATACGAGTGGCCCAGGTGCAAACGCCTCAGCTCTTCCACGATCTCATCCTTCCGGCCGCCTGGGAGCTCTGCAGTTGCCAGTAAGGCGTGGGCGTGAAGAGCAACCTGAGACAGCCCAAAAAGATGGTCCAAAATTCCAAATTCAAGACTCCCGGAAACAGCACCATGAAGTTTCCCTATGCCACTTACATCTAAGCTCATATGACGGCGGGCAAGCAGCGCGCATCTGATTGCCCAGGTACATGTGCAAGTCGCGGCACAGGACGACCGAGGTGTAGCAGCGCAGCAAGAGGCTGTTCGCGATGAGGCGGCTGGCTTTGGGGAAATCCGGATCCACGAGCACCAGGAGGTCCTCGATCGGCTTCCCGCCTTCCGGGGGCACCAGAACCTGCTCACTACGAAGACCGCAACACAGGGATGCGGTGTCCGCCAAGGACTTGTGCATCTTTCGAATCTTCATCGCGTACGGGTCCATCTGCGTGGCTGCCCGCCTCTGCACATCTACAGGGTAGCCCAAGATGCCCACGAACATCAGTAGCTCGTACTCCGAGTGACATGAACGGGCGTCGGCCGAGCACCACTCAGCCAAGTGCTGCCAGGATGAACTTAAGGACAGGTAGGACTGACGACCATGTCCGATGCCCAGGCTCTGCAAGACCTCGGCGACCTTGTCGCTGTCCAGCAAGGCGTCCGTGGCCGAGGTCACTTCTCCGTGACACAGCGCACGGGCCGCGTCCTCGCCCAAAGCCGTCTGCAAGCTCTTGCGGGCGGGCTCCGACAGCTGGGATAGCCTCGGTCGAAAGAAAAGCAGATTGCAGAGTGGTGGGCGCAATTCTTGCTGGCAAGCGGCTTGGCACGCAGGTCCTGAGAGGGAGATGGTAACCGCGATCAAAGAGGCAACAGAAAAGAGTCATCTGTGAGGCCGGCCGGCCTGCGTCAAGCTGAGATATCTGGAAGTTAACCTCCATTCCCCCCCCACCCCCCCCCCCCCCCGCCCCCCCCCCCACTGCGGGGACGCCACCCGATTGTCAATTTGTCAGCTCACAGGCGGTTTTGCTGGCGGGTCGAGGCCGCTTCACGCTCGCTTGCCCTCTTCCCTTGCCCACTGTCCTTCTCTGTGTTTGCTTTCCTTGCGTCATCTCGATGGATTCTTGACGACTTCCTCCCTCGCCTGCGCCAACCTTTGCAACCCATATTTCCTCGCAGCCCCCCCTCTTTTTCTTCTCTTTGCCATTGCTCGTGGCCAGTCCCACGCCGAGTTGGGCTTCGCGCTGTAAAGAAAGAAACTACGTGTCATACCTGCAGTCCTCGCGGAGGGCCAGCCGCACCTTGGCGCCCGTCTTCTCCACATCCTCCACAAGATCCGAGAAGCTCACTGCGTTGGCGCGGAGGAGAGCCTTGGCCCCATACTTGGAGGACTTCCCCGTGAGGAAGGCGGCCTGCTCTGCGGAGTTGGAGCCCTTGAAGGCCTCCAGCTCTGCCAGGCGATTCCGCAGCTCACGGACGCTCTGCACCAGACCCTTCACCTTCTTGAACTGCGCCAGGCGCCTCTCCAGCTGCGCGCACGCAATGAACGACCCATGCAAGATGACATTAATTCCATGACACGTTGGCGTGATGTTGTAGGAAGAACCCGGTGCAAGGATGACTAGACTGACTACTCACTGACGAGACTCTATAGTCTGTAGGATGCTCTCATATCGAGATTTGGCCGAGTGGCTGCTGAGGAGACGCACCGACCAAGCAAAAGCCCTCGCTTCCCCGAAGGGTCTCGCACTTCTCGATCGCTGTTACCCACTTGCCCAGCTGCTGCACGGCCGTGGCCACGTCCTCCCCCGCCACCCGGGCGACGCGCGCACGCGCCAGCAAAGGCTGGAGAGCATCGCAGGCCAGCTCGACATCGCTGGTCGTGACGCAGGGCACCTCCATGCCCTCGATGCAAAGCTCCTGCCACGGGGCCTCTGCCTTCACCACAAAGTACTGCTCTGGGCGGGCCATGAAAGTCACTTCCGGCACGGGATCCTTGCCAACGGCCTTGGTGCCAGGCGCCCATACACACCCCCATTATTGAAACATACATTGAGACACTTCTACAGACGGCCTTTAAGTCGGACAGGTTCGATTTCAAGAGGATGTATACCGGGGCATAATGCACCGATAAGAGACCCTGCTGCCCTGCCTGGACGAAGCCGATGCCGGGAGGAAAGGAGGCGCGCAGCAGGCTGCCACTCAAGGAGGCCATGGTTTCTGTGAGCTCCCCAAGCACCTCCTTCATCTTCGCGGCATCTGGGGCGAAGTAAATTGGCTGCAAATCCAAGGCGACGGTCTCTAGGCTGCGCTTTAACAGCATGCCCATGGAGGTGTCGGAAGAACCGGTGACTCCCACCACCACCACGGAGAGCCTAAGATTCGGGAGATCCCGGTGTAAGGTCTCTCCCAAAACAGGGACCCCAGAAGAGGGACGAGGTCCCTCGTTGTGTGCACCATCGCTCAGGAGGACCAAGACGTGGTGAGTCTCGCTTTCGGCCTCGCTGGTCTTGCCGTCGCGATGCCTGCGGTGATGTTGGTCCGCCCCTGGGGCGGAAGCGCAGCCTTCTGCATTTCCACGGGGGTCGCAAAGCTTCCGAGGAGTGTGGCCTCGTTGGCGAAGACCGTCAGGGAGCAAGGGAGCGTGGCCAGGGAGACCAGCTCGGAGAAGCACTCCTATACCCGTTTTCAGAAGACGACATCTTCCCCATTATGCCATGATAATTGTTAACCTTCCTCCCCCGAAAGACTTCCCCCCCCCACAAAGAAGACCCATTTCCCCACTCCTGCGCAGAGCGGGTGTTGCCTCGCATGCTGGCGCTGTTGTCCAGGACAATGTGGATCCGGGTAGGGCTACGCTGCAGCCGGGCCGGGTGCTCGCAAGAAAGCCGCAGCCTGAGGGCCCAGGTCCCAGCGTCGAGCTCCACTCGCGAGCATGTGGCCAAAGGCTCGCTCGCCATGGGGAGCCTGCGAGCCTTTCTACCTGCGTGTTTTTTGCTGTCCCAGGTCGGGAGTTTGAACAGCGACGACCAGGCAACCGATGCACCTTGATGCATCTTGATACACCAGACGCCGAAACCTCCCACAGCTCAATGCCAAAAAAACATATGTACATACCAGAAAAACCCCAAAAAGGCAGACTCCAAAAACACACGGCAAACCCCAAAAAAAAAGTAAAGCGTAGCAACTCCGTAAAACCCCGCGCGATCCCCAAAAAAAGGCGTGCAGAACCCGTAACCGAAATCCAAAAAAAACGAAAAAAAAAACTCAAAAAAATGCCGTGCACCCGACGCCGAAAAATCTTACCATTCTGAGCTCAAGTTTTGTGTCTCACCGCTTTTTGGGAGATGAACCCGCCCGCCAAGCCACAGCTTTGAATTCTGCCCTCAGTGAACTTGTTTTGGATGCAAAACTTGCCACGGTTTGCATTGTTCCCAAAGCACCATATGGTGTTTCATGCATTTCACGGCTTGCTTATGAGCTCCCGTTTGCATCAATACAGTTGCAATCCTGTCTGTGAGGCTTGCCCACAGGACGAGGATTTTGTAGGGCGAATCAGCCGTACAAAGAGGAGGGCGGAACTCGTGCTGTGATATCAGCCTCGCTTCGGCGGTATTTGGTACATTGCCATACCGTTTGGAGGCATGAGCTGTGTTAGGCGACGGCAAGTGATGGAAAGAGTCTGAACGTTTGCATTTCCACCTAAGTGTGCGAATTCCTAGGTTTTTCCAGAATCTCGAGGTTTCTACCAAAGGCTGACTCTGACAAAATCCCGGCCCACGGCTCCCCTGGTCTAATTACAGTGAGCAGCGAACTGGGAGCTCCACAACGTAGTCACGTAGCCCCGGAGAACCCTCCGCAAGAACCGAAACAGGATTCCGCTCGAAGACCTCCAAGTCCTACAACAGCAATGTAAGGCAAGTTGCACCTACAAACGTCATCGCCCACCACACCTCCCTAGACCTCAAACGCTCACCCCGAACTTTATGGGCTGCAGGCGCCAAAGTTGAGGACCCGGCCCGACATCGGCTCCGGCAGGAAGGCCTCGTCGCCTGGCGCTCATCCGAGCTGTCGGCTAGGGAGAAGCTGAGTTGTTGACGGCGCTTCTCCTCCCCAGAAAACTGTACTTCGTACAACCAACCCTCTGAATCCCATAATCCCAATACCGGAGCTTACACTTCACACAGTCCTTGGCCGCTAGACCCGTCTAGGCTGGGGCTTCTGGGGCTCGGGATGACAAGTGCCTTCGTCCTGGAGTTACCCTATACCTAACCCTTGCGCGCTGTTAAAGTTTAGTATACAGATACGTAGCTGCATCCGTTTGCGCATCGAGGCTGCTATGCTTCTCAAAGACTTGGCAAGGACCTAGCAGCACCCTTTGATGGGCCAAGTATTGAGCTGGCGTACAAGGAGCTCAATGCACGGCGAAAAGGCGCATGGCGTCAACACCCTTCAGTTCAAATCGCAGCCACTGTGCTACTTGCAATATCTTGCAATACCTGTTGAACCTCAGCCCTCCACCCCTCCACCCCGGCAGGGTTTGAGTTTCGAATGTCCAGGGAAGCCTGGCCGGAGACTACGCAAACCTTTGTAAACAACCGGGCTGCAACAACTCCTGCGACGAAGGTCCACGTGCAAGGGTTCACAGCTGCAGGCCCAAGTTCTGCCGAGATGCCGTGGCGCAGCCGCAGGGGGGGGGGGGGGGGTGGGGGGGGGATTGTGACTGCGGCTTTCACTTTACAAATGCTGCGGGGAGTTTGGCGTCTCTCAAGCGTAAGAAAGGTGCAACTCCCCGCCGAAAACCCTTCACTGAAGGGTCCGGAAGAATCTGCAGATATCCTTCACCTGTGGTGTCATCCAACACGGCTGGTGACCCAAGACCCGTGCACCCATGCACCGTTCCGCGACTACCCGTAACGCATTCCATATCCGATCTTGGACCCTGGATTCCGTGTCAGCCACCCAGCATCCTCCAACGTCACGCGCTCTGCGAGTCCGATACTCATACAGTGCCTGGTTGCCTTCGGTACTCATACTTTCGCGTCATTGCCATGCGTATTGCAGTCATGCATGTGTGCATGGGTGCGCGTTGCGCAGCGTTATAACGCTTCTAAACCCACCAACACCAAACCCCATATCAAGACATTCCTGTGTCTCCCAACACTTCAGAATCTCCATCCGCGCCTTCTCAGACCCGCAAAAGCCCTTACAATCCTGACATCAAACATTCATGGGCCTCTGCAGTTGGCTTTTGTGTGGCGCGAGAAAAGCTCTCAACATCTCTCGCTTCTTTTGGCGGTCAAAACAGGTGTGAAAGCAGCCGACAGCAGGAAGCTTCTCAATACAAAAGTGATGGGGATATGGGAACCTTCAACTTCAAAGGTTTCCGGCCATTTATTTGAGTGTGCTACATCGTACTGCTATACGTGTTTTACAAATGAGTTTCTCCAGCGTGATTCGCATCTTCGAGCTGAGAGTGCCCGAGATCCCCATGGAAGCTTCTCTGCGTCAGCGCATAATTACTGTATGATGTGTGACATACGCTGTTGCTGAAAGCTTTCCTGAAAAGATGAGAGCAATCTCAAGATGCCTCAAGCGCAGGTGCCGTAGCGGGTGTTGGCAAGTGACCAATACACCTGACAGACTCGTGGGAGGCCATGAACCTTCAAAGCCTACTCCGCATCGTGATCGCTCTGCAGGTTGCGCAGAAGCACCTATCTTTGGGGACTTTGGGGCTCGGGGAAGGCAAGGCTTGCACACCAAACTTCCCAGAAGGCCTCCTTGAACTGCCCACTGCAGCAATAGTCGGAGTCGCCAGCGTTTGCATGATCACGGCCATCCTTGTTCCACCGCTTTCGATGTCGAGATGCGCATCCCGTGGCACAAGCCTGGCAGAGTTCGCATGAGTTGCCTCAAATGTGACGCAAAGCATGTGGAGGCGTCTGCCGTGCCGTGCCCTGTTCACAGAAGTGGCCTTGCCTTGCAATAGGTCCCGACGCACGGCACCTCCGATGACTCCAACACAGGGTGCAAACACTGCACTACGCAGAGAGAGAGAGAGAGAGTGAGAGAGAGAGCACGCTTGCCAAGATAAGAACTCATGTTGTGAAGTGCAGACACTCCCTGAACCAAGACTCTGAGGAAACAACGAGAGATTGTACGAGAGATTTTCACTGCAAGCTAGGGTCCCGCACCTTGCAGTTATTGTCCTCCGAGGGACAATCCAGCCTTGTTCCCCCCGGTGCACAGAGGACAGAAGTGGCTTTCCTGCAAGGCGGACGTTGCTGTCAGTACTGCTAGAGATATCTAAGTGTACTGATTTGCTCGCCCTGCCGCCATCTTCTGGGTTGTGCTAGCCGTCCTTTCAGTCAGGCCCCATGTGCTCTTGTAGCTCTCGTAGTTGGTGCCGGAACCTTTGGGCAAGTAAGACCTTGGAGGAAGAAGGGCTTTCAGAAAATCCTGCAATCCTTTCACTCTGATCATTCCCGATTCTGCCTGGGTGCCAGGCTTGCGCTGCACAGATGTGTCCGGCGTCATATCCTCACATTTTGGCAGTGAAGCAACAGCAGCTTCGAACCCGTAGAGGACTGGGAAGCAAGATCGTGACAAAACACACACGCACAAACAGAGAGGCACACCAAGTGGAGTGGAACTTGCATGTTGCGGCTGCTTTCATGACAGCTCAGCCCAAGCAAGCCTGGCTTTGCGCTGCCTTCGTAAACGTAGCCAACCAATACCGACCTGTTTGGCCAGCGCGCCAACAGCGGAGGCAGTGCTGGCGGGTGGCTGTGTAAGGTGTATAGGGGACACGAAGCGTTCTTCATCCCCTTCCCCCAAGATCAAGCTCATGCCTCGCAGCACGTTCCAAGCAGCCTTGCGCCACTCCATGAGGCAGGCGCAGTTGTTGTTCGCATTGCCAAGAACATTGATGGTGGCTCCGATGGGATAGTTGCTGCTGTGGCAGAAAGCCCCGGACTGATGCTCCATACAGCAGAGGTCATGCAGAATCGATCCGACCTGTCACCACTTCATGCTGCAGGTCGCAATATGTCGCGAATTGCAGATGTAGTGCCATGGCAAGCTATAGGTGCACACGCACACACGTACACACACAAACACACACATCAGCACTTGAAGAAATGAAGTGATCTGAATGGAGGCAAAGGCACACTTGTCTTCAGGGTGACGGTTCCGTCGCCGTTGTCTTGTGGTGCTACCAGGTTGACAGACAGAGTCCCCATGACGCCGAAGTCAAGATCGTATGGCACACCCACGCAGTCGACCCCAGTGCCACCAACACAATGGTCGAAGGCACAATCAGTGCCACTGTTGGGGCATTTCATTCGCGTAATGCCTCCGACATTCTCATATTGAAAGGGGACGTCATGCAAGGCATGGCACGCGGCTGGGTCGCCAGCATCGTTGCAGCAGTTCTCGTTGGGTGGCATGCGGGCTGATGTATTGGCCAAAGAACGTGAGAGGGAAGTCCGGCTTTGAACGAAGGTTGATCCCTCGCTGCTGCTTCGACATTCTGATTTTGCAGCTGCCAGGCACAAAAGCCAACAGGCTGCCACAACTCTGAGAGATGCCATGGTTGGTCTACGAATCTTTTTAAAACGACCTATAAGTCGTAATTTAAGGGGTTCGATAGTCACCAGCTGCGAGATGAGAACTTTCCGACAATGGATGCAAGGGAAATCCAGGTCGGAGCACAGGGACGGCTCTGGGTCCAGCGAAGCCATCCGAATTCTTAAGTTAGCTCTCCCAAAAACGTTCGGTGTAAGGCATGAGAAGCTGCACTGAATTTAATGGTCGTGATGCCACGATATGCCACGGGAATTTGAGGCTATGTTGCAGAAACATTTACAAATGAGGCGACACGTTCTCCCCCTGGACAAGTCGGAACCCCACCAACTTCTACTATATAGAGGGTTTCCCCCCTACGTGATGCAGACCAAAAAAAAAACATAGGAATTTGTACTAGTCCTAATAATAAAATTCCTAAGAATAACAACATAGTAAGAGTGGCTACAGCAGCACGGGCACCTGAAGTACTGTAAGGGTTGACACAGCCGACACGCCCCCCCCCCCCCCTTTTTTCTGCGTGCGTCAAAAACCTTTGCCTCAACAACCATTGAGGGGAACCATCCTCCTGGTGTGTCATTAACACTTCGTTTTCCTCCCGCAGCTGAGCCACACAAATGCACGCTACAATCTTGAAGCCTACAAGGTCAGGTACCAGGTGCCAAGTGCGCCAGGACTCGTTGATGGAGGTTCACTCAGCTTGCATCTGGAAGCCTTGGGCCAAGGCGCTCAGCTTCTGGGAACTTCACGGCTCCCGTCGTAGGGGCCTTGGTGGGAGCCCTTGCCCGCATCTGTAAGAACACGTGGCTAGCACGAAGCACGCGCCTCAGAACCTGTCTGTCGTTGTTCGACAAAGCTTTCGATCTCCTGGATCACCTGCCATTTCGCTAGTCTGGTGATGTGAGGCAGCTGTGCGACTGCTGACAGAACATGTGCGAAGACGGTTCCTGTCAGATGCTCCGCATCGTCGGAAACTTCTTCGCTGCAAAAGAGCCCTTCTGTCGGCTTGGAAACACGTTGAAGTGCTTTTCGGCGCTCGCATCACGGACGCAGACATCGTGCCTGCTCCCCGTCAACGCCCCCCACGTTCTGCGAGAGGGTGATGCTGCAAAGGCTGGAGTGGACCACCGCGACCTTCAGCGCCTTCCGAAATGAGAGGCATCGAGTTGTTGTTGATGTGAGTGTTCTGCAGGAAGGTTGTGTCTGTCTCTTTGCTCCAAGTCTATGCTCGAAATCGCCCGACCACGACAACTACCGGCGGAAAACGTGTACATGCTACAGAACCTCAAATCAAACAGCTCATCCCTCGTTTAATCTGCAAGGATGCTAGCTTCAACGTTGGCTTGGAAGCACCCCTTTTTCGAGAAACTTACGAGGTGCACTTCCCCAGTGTCATAGCTTAGCAACTTACACTCTTTGGAGCTTCTGGAGCACTTGCGAGCCCTATAGCTCACCCTTGAAGCCCCTCCTGAAGTTCACATTTTCCCAGCCTGCAGTCCGAGCACTCCGATCTCGCAGCCGTCCAGTCGCAGTGTACTCAGCGAGGTGCTACACCGAATTGCCCGCGCCAAAACCTAGTGGAGTGCAGGAGCCCAGGAAGGATTGTCACAGAACACGTGTGGGAGTGTGGGAGTTTGGTGACAAGTCCCCTCAAGATGACGCTAGTCGAGGCCAGTCTTGTGCGAAGTTGGGCGACCCAGATGCATGCGACTTACCTAGTGCAGCACGCGTGCTTTTTTAACGACGATCGGGGGCGTTGAACAGAATAGGGGGGAATCCATGTGTGTTGACGGATGCACGAGGTGTGCTGGCTATCGTTAAACCACTCTTCAGATGACGCCATGAGCTCGCACGCCGACCCATACGGGTTTGACTTGCTGGTTGTCACCTGCGAAACCAGAAACGGCAAGGCCTCTGCACCCTCATCGCCGATAGGGTTCCCACCGAGGTCGACGTAGGTGACAGCAGAGCTGGAAGCAAGCATTGTGGCCATGGCCTGTCATGTCTTCTTGCGGGAGCTGCGACACGCGACATTATCGCTGCGCTGCATGTGCGGATGGCTTTTTAGACCCAGCAAGCCATCAGGCCACAGCAAAGCGCAAAAGGCTTCAACGAGGCTCTTTACAGCTCCCTAAACAGCTGCCAGGAAGATCACAAACTGGACCCGAAGTGGACCCAACACAAGATTCCTCGATCCGCCTTCAGGCTGTCAAGGCCCAGGTGGCAGCCCGCCAGGTCAAGAGAAGTCACCCTCAACTCCATCAGCTCCTCTGCCAAGTCCTGCCAGAACTTGGAGAGATGTGTAGAGCCTCACTGATTCCTGTATCTCCACACCTTGGCCCAGTCGAAGTGGATTGGCGTGTTTCGAAGGTTGAGATGTGTGACGTGGTCGTTCCGGAGTAGGTCACGGATGTCCTCAGCAGCTTGCATGCTTTGGGTGGGAGCGGGGGGGGGGGGGGGACTGATTTGGGGTGGGGCACAGACAGATATAGTTTAGCATATGCATAACCGCACGGACCTAGCAGGGTGCATAAAGGTCGTAAGGGGGCTATTTCCTGGAAGCACGCTCCGGGCAAGCGGTTCCTGGACAAGAAATCTGCTTTCTGATCCGTTTAAAAATTTGCAGTGGTCCCATCTTTTGCCTGTAAGTGATGCGACCCAACCCCTCACATATCTGCAAAAAACAACCCCCCAAACCAACCCCCCTCCCCGATCCTCACGTCGCTCCAGCCTCCCACTCGTCGAACTGGAAGGCCCAGCAGGATTGGAAGTCAAGGCACTGCCAGGGGCCGAACAGGCTTCGCGTCTCAAGTTGCTGCGCATTTTTCATATGGCTCTAAAGAAGGAGACGGGACAGACCATGGGCCAAGAGCCTTCAGCCGGCTTCGCCCTGAAGATGCTGCACTGTACGCACTGTACGTGTTCTCCCCCGGCCCAAGTTGAAGAGAAAGCGTGGAATTGCTGTGGCGTGCGTGGTGGCCTCAAGATCCCCTCTGCGTTTTTCGAGGATGGTCCCGATCTCGCGCAGAACCTGCGAAGGAACCCCAAGGTCAGGGAGCATGTTACGGAGCTCAGGAATACGTTGGGGATTGGGTTTGCTGAGTCTAGCTGAGATCTGATCTGGCTGCTGCAGGGAGTTAGATTCGGTGTGTCAGGTGCGACCAGCCGAATTGGGAACTGTTCGTCTTTCTTTGCTGTTTAGCCTTGAGGGCTCATGCGCAAAACCGGCAACGCGCGGCGAATCATCATATCACCATCATCATCAGCATCATCATCTTCTTCTTCCACCGCGGCAAGAATATGTCCTTGTCCAGCGAGCGCCTTCAGTGCTCAGCACCGGCCGATCTTCACGGCTTGGCACGCATGCCCTTTGGACGGCTTACTGCGCTACGAAAAACGAGAGCGATCCGTACGCTATACATGGACCTCTATGGGCAAAAGAATGATGAGGCAGACTATGCGGGCAGCATCATCATCATCATCATCATCATCATCATCATCATCATCATCACTATCCTCATCCTCATCCTCATCGCAGTCCCTCTCACATCTGCGCGTTGCTCGCTTAGGTGCTCTGCCAGCAACTGCAGTTTAGGATGCTCCCCTGAATCGCAGCGTCTCGTTTAAGGCGGCAGCCGGACATTGACAGGACTTAATCGAAAGGTGCTGCCCTTGCGAGCCAAAAAGAAAGAATGCCAGAGTATCGTGATGCGGAAGTATGCAAACTAAACGCCAAGAGAGATAGGACAACTGGCAGAAGCACTGTAGGCATCTTCGGTCCTGGATGCTCTCGGGCCCTCCATCACTTTCATCATGAAGATACATCTTCATGATGGTGGAGTTTGCTGCCAGCAGCTTGTGAAAGGCCTGTCTTTGGGGCAACTGCTTGTGCATCCGCCGACCTCTAGGGGGGCGGCGTCAGTGAAGACCCATTGCCCCTACCACCTACTCCACCCCATCCAAAGCTCGACCGGCTGCCCAAGCCCCCCACGCACCCCGCCATGCTTCTCATGGACCCATGGCTCCTCCCAGTGCATGCCCGCCCGCTTGCCCTACCCCCACCACCCACGCACCCCGCCCCCCGCCCATCCGCCCTTCCCGCTCCGCATACTCCTTCCCTTGCCCAAGCCCCCCACGCACCCCGCCATGCTTCTCATGGACCCATGGCTCCTGGTCCCATTCTTCATCCCAAGCTCGACCGGCCCCCAGTGCATGGCCGCCCGCTTGCCCTACCTCCACCACCCACGCACCCCGCCCCCCGTCCATCCGCCCTTCCCGCTCCGCATACTCCCCCCCTTGCCCAAGCCCCCCACGCACCCCGCCATGCTTCTCATGGACGCATACTTCTCATGGACCCATGGCTCCTGGTCCCATTCTTCATCCCTCCTATTTATGGCCCCTGCTCCACCCCCACCCCCACCCCGCACGCACCCTGCCCCGCCGCCCATGCTTGTCATGGACCCAGGGCTCCTGGCCCCATGGCTCCACCCCCCCCCCCCCCACCCGCCATGCTTTTCATGGATGGCTCCTGGTCCCATTCTTCACCCCTTCATGGCTCCACCCCCACCCCCAACCCCCACCCCCAACACCCCACCCTTTCCACCCTTCCAACCCCCACCACGCACCCCGCCCCCCCACTGGACCCATGGCTCCTGGCCCCATTGGTGTTGGTCCCATTCTTCATCTCTCGACCTGCATGGCTGCCAACGCTGGTCCTATATATGGCCCCTGCTCACCCAACCCCCAACCCCCACCCCCATACCGGACGCACCCTGCCACCCTCCAACCCCTACCCCCACCCCCCACGCACCCCGCCCCCCACTGAACCCATGGCTCCTGGCCCCATTGGCTCATGGTCCACGGCCCATGGGTGTGGCTTCTCAGCTGACTTTAAAGGGCCCCAGTGCATCCCCGAGCCCTCCGCCCGCTCCGCCCTCCGCCCTTCCAGCTCCGCCTACTCCCCTCTGGCCCATGCTCCCACTCTCCATCCCCTTGACCTACCCCTCATGGACCCAGCTCCCTACCCCTTACCCCTCACGCACCCATGTCATGGACCCATATGGCTCCTGGCCCCACTCCCCATTCATTATGGTTCACGGCCCAAGCAGGTGGCTTCTCCGCCCCTACCCCCACCACCTCCACCCTTCCCGCTCCGCATACTCCCTCCGTTGCCCAAGCCCCCCACGCACCCCGCCATGCTTCTCATGGACTGGTCAAAAAAATGACCCCTGCACCACCCCCACCCCCAACCCCCACCCCCACCCCGCACGCACCCTGCCACCCCCAACCCCCAACCCCCACCCCCACCCCCACGCACCCACACTTCCAACCCCACCCCACGCACCCCGCCCCGCACTGGACGCTCCGCCCGCTCCGCCCTCCGCCCTTCCAGCTCCGTTCTACTCACTCTACTCTCCATCCCCTTGACCTACCCCTCATGCCAAGCTTCCCCTCACGCACCTGCGCCGCCGCCCATGCCCGTCATGGGCCCATGGCTCCTGGCCCCATGGCTCCCCTCCGCCCCTCGCACCCTGCCACCCCCAACCCCCACCCCTACCCCCACCCCCCACGCACCGCCACCCACTGAACCCATGGCTCCTGGCCCCATTGGCTCATGGTCCACGGCCCATGGGTGTGGCTTCTCAGCTGACTTTAAAGGGCCCCAGTGCATGCCCGGGCCCTCCGCCCGCTCCGCCCTCCGCCCTTCCAGCTCCGCCTACTCCCGTCTGGCCCATGCTCCCACTCTCCATGCCCTTGACCTTGGACCCAGCTCCCTACCCCTTACCCCTCACGCACCCATGTCATGGACCCATGGCCCCATGGCTCCCCATTCATTATGGTCCACGGCCCAAGCAGGTGGCTTCTCCGCCCCTACCCCCACCACCTCTACCCTTTACTCCCTCCCTTGCCCAAGCCCCCCGCACCCCGCCATGCTTCTCATGGACCCATGGCTCCCTGGTCCCATTCTTCATCCCTCGACCTGCATGGCTGTCAATGCTGGTCAAAAAAAATGGCCCCTGCTCAACCCCCACCCCCACCCCGCACGCACCCTGCCACCCCCAACCCCCAACCCCCACCCCCACCCCCACGCACCCACACTTCCAACCCCACCCCCACCCCCCCACGCACCCCGCCCCCCACTGGACCCATGGCTCCTGGCCCCATTGGCTCATGGTCCACGGTCCATGGATGTGGCTTCTCAGCTGACTGCCCCAGTGCTTGCCCGGGCCCTGCTCCCTGCCCCTTCCCCTCACGCACCTGCCCCGCCCGCCCAGTGCATGCCCGGGCCCTCCGCCCGCTCCGCCCTCCGCCCTTCCAGCTCCGCCCGTCCACGGCCCATGGATGTGGCTTCTCAGCTGACTTTGAAGGCCCCAGTGCATGCCGGCTCCGCCCTCCGCCCTTCCAGCTCTCCTTTGGCCCATGCTCCCACTCTCCATCCCCACGCACCCCGCCATGCTTTTCATGGATGGCTCCTGGTCCCATTCTTCACCCCTTGAGCTGCTCCACCCCCACCCGCAACCCCCACCCCCACCCCGCACGCACCCTGCCCCGCCGCCCGTGCTTGTCATGGGCCCCTTGCTCCTGGCGTCATGGCTCCACCCACACCCTTTCCACACTTCCAACCCCCACCCCCACCCCCCACGCACCCCGCCCCCCCACTGAACCCATGGCTCCTGGCCCCATTGGCTCATGGTCCACGGCCCATGGGTGTGGCTTCTCTCAGCTGACTAAAGGGCCCCAGTGCATGCCCGGGCCCTCCGCCCGCTCCGCCCTCCGCCCTTCCAGCTCCGCCTACTCCCCTCTGGCCCATGCTCCCACTCTCCATGCCCTTGACCTTGGACCCAGCTCCCTACCCCTTACCCCTCACGCACCCATGTCATGGACCCATGGCCTCATGGCTCCCCATTCATTATGGTCCACGGCCCAAGCAGGTGGCTTCTCCGCCCCTACCCCCACCACCTCTACCCTTTACTCCCTCCCTTGCCCAAGCCCCCCGCACCCCGCCATGCTTCTCATGGACCCATGGCTCCCTGGTCCCATTCTTCATCCCTCGACCTGCATGGCTGTCAATGCTGGTCAAAAAAAATGGCCCCTGCTCAACCCCCACCCCCACCCCGCACGCACCCTGCCACCCCCAACCCCCAACCCCCACCCCCACCCCCACGCACCCACACTTCCAACCCCACCCCCACCCCCCCACGCACCCCGCCCCCCACTGGACCCATGGCTCCTGGCCCCATTGGCTCATGGTCCACGCTCCATGGATGTGGCTTCTCAGCTGACTGCCCCAGTGCTTGCCCGGGCCCTGCTCCCTGCCCCTTCCCCTCACGCACCTGCCCCGCCCGCCCATGCCCCTCATGGACCCGCACCCGCTCCCTCGCCCATCCGCCCTTCCCGCTCCGCATACATTCCCCTTGCCCAAGCCCCCCCCAACACCCCACCCTTTCCACACTTCCAACCCCCACCCCCACCCCCCACCCCGCCCCCCCACTGGACCCATGGCTCCTGGCCCCATTGGTGTTGGTCCCATTCTTCATTTTTCGACCTGCATGGCTGCCAATGCTGGTCCTATATATGGCCCCTGCTCCACCCCAACCCCCAACCCCCACCCCCATACCGTACGCACCCTGCCACCCCCAACCCATGGGTGTGGCTTCTCAGCTGACTTTAAAGGGCCCCAGTGCATGCCCGGCCCTCCGCCCGCTCCGCCCTCCGCCCTTCCAGCTCCGCCCGTCCACGGCCCATGGATGTGGCTTCTCAGCTGACTTTGAAGGCCCCAGTGCATGCCCGCTCCGCCCTCCGCCCTTCCAGCTCTCCTTTGGCCCATGCGCACCCCGCCATGCTTTTCATGGATGGCTCCTGGTCCCATTCTTCACCCCTTGAGCTGCTCCACCCCCACCCGCAACCCCCACCCCCACCCCGCACGCACCCTGCCCCGCCGCCCGTGCTTGTCATGGGCCCCTTGCTCCTGGCGTCATGGCTCCACCCACCCCCAACCCCCCACCCTTTCCACACTTCCAACCCCCACCCCCACCCCCCACGCACCCCGTATATATGGCCCCTGCTCCACCCCAACCCCCAACCCCCACCCCCATACCGTACGCACCCTGCCACCCCCAACCCCCAACCCCCACCCCCACCCACCCACACTTCCAACCCCAACCCCCACCCCCCACGCACCCCGCCCCCCACTGAACCCATGGCTCCTGGCCCCATTTTAACTCATGGTCCACGGCCCATGGGTGTGGCTTCTCAGCTGACTTGAAAGGGCCCCAGTGCATGCCCGGGCCTCCGCCTGCTCCGCCCTCCGCCCTTCCAGCTCCGCCTACTCCCTCTGGCCCATGCTCCCACTCTCCATCCCCTTGACCTACCCCTCATGGACCCAGCTCCCTACCCCTTACCCCTCACGCACCCATGCCCCTCATGGACCCAATGGCTCCTGGCCCCATGGCTCCCATTCATTGTGGTCCACGGGCCAAGCAGGTGGCTTCTCCGCCCTACCCCTTGCCCAAGCCCCCCACGCACCCCGCCATGCTTCTCATGGACCCATGGCTCCTGGTCCCATTCTTCATCCCTCGACCTGCGTGGCTGCCAATGCTGGTCCGAAAAATGGCCCCTCACCCCCAACCCGCACGCACCCTGCCCCGCCGCCCACGCTTGTCATCTGGCCCCATGGCTCCACCCCCAACCCCCACCGCCCCCCCCACCCCCCACGCACCCCGCCCCCCACCCAGCGGCGGCCCATGGCTGACTTTAAAGGGCCCCAGCGCACCGCCCCCTCCGCTCCGGCCTCCGCCCTTCCAGCTCCGCCTACTCCCCCCTTGGCCCATGCTCCCACTCTCCATCCTCTCGACCTCCCCCGCTTGGCCCGCTTGCTCTACCCCCCCCCGCCCATCCGCCCTTCCCGCGCTCCCCTTGCCCAGCCCCCCCACGCACCCCGCCATGCTTCTCATGGACTCCTCCCTCGACCTGCATGGCTGCCAATGCTGGTCCTATCTATGGCCCCTGCTCCACCCCCACCCCCAACCCCCACCCCCACCCCGCACGCACCCTGCCACCCCCAACCCCCAACCCCCACCCCCACCCCCACGCACCCACACTTACAACCCCACCCCCACCCCCCCACGCACCCCGCCCCCCACTGGACCCATGGCTCCTGGCCCCATTGGCTCATGGTCCACGGCGCATGGATGTGGCTTCTCAGCTGACTTTAAAGGCCCCAATGCATGCCCGGGCCCTCCGCCCGCTCCGCCCGCTCCGCCCTCCGCCCTTCCAGCTCCGCCTACTCACTCTCCTTTGGCCCATGCTCCCACTCTCCATCCCCTTGACCTCTCATGGACCCAGCTCCCTGCCCCTTCCCCTCACGCACCTGCCCCGTTGCCCATGCCCCTCATGGACTCCTGGCCCCATGGCTCCCCTCCACCCCTACCCCCACCACCCATGCACCCGCTCCCCGCCCATCCGCCCTTCCCGCTCCGCATACATTCCCCTTGCCCAAGCCCCCCACGCACCCCGCCCCTTGAGCTGCTCCACCCCCACCCGCAACCCCCACCCCCACCCCGCACGCACCCTGCCCCGCCGCCCGTGCTTGTCATGGGCCCCTTGCTCCTGGCGTCATGGCTCCACCCCCACCCCCAACCCCCACCCCCCTTCCCGCGCTCCCACTGCCCAAGCCCCCCTCATCCCTCGACCTGCATGGCTGCTGGTCCTAGCACACTCCCCCCTTGCCCAAGCCCCCCACGCACCCCACCATGCTTCTCATGGACCCATGGCTCCTGGTCCCATTCTTCATCCCTTGACCTGCACTTCCAACCCCCACCCCCACCCCCCACGCACCCCGCCCCCCCACTGGACCCATGGCTCCTGGCCCCATTGGTGTTGGTCCCATTCTTCTCCCTCGACCTGCATGGCTGCCAATGCTGGTCCTATATCTGGCCCCTGCTCCACCCCAACCCCCAACCCCCACCCCCATACCGTACGCACCCTGCCCCCCCCAACCCCCAACCCCCACCCCCACCCACCCCCCACGCACCCCGCCCCCCCACGGAACCCCTGGCCCCACTCCCCAGCCCACTTTGGCTTATCCCCCCTATATTGGCCCCTGCTCCACCCACCCCCAACCCCCATACCCCGTACGCACCCTGCCACCCCCAACCCCCAACCCCCACCCCCACCCACACCCACACTTCCAACCCCCACCCCCACCGCCACGGCACCCCGCCCCCCACTGGACCCATGGCTCCTGGCTTCCTTTGGCTCCAGTGCCCAGGCCCTCCACCCGCTCCGCCCCCTCCGCCCTTCCAGCTCCGCCCTACTCTCTGGCCCATGCTCCCACTCTCCATCCCCTTGACCTACCCCTCATGGACCCAGCTCCCTACCCCTTACCCCTCGCGCACCCTGCCCCGCCGCCCATGCCCCTCATGGCTCCTGGCCCCATGGCTCCCCATTGGTTATGGTCCACGGCCCAAGCAGGTGGCTTCTCCGCCCCTACCCCCACCACCCACGCACCCGCCCCCCGCCCCATGGCTCCTGGTCCCATTCTTCATCCCTTGAGCTGCATGGCTGCCAAGCTGGTTCTTTTTCTGGCCCCTGCTACCCCCACCCCCAACCCCGCCCCGCCGCCCATGCGTGTCATGGGCCCCTTGCTCCTGGCCCCATGGCTCCACCCCCAACCCCCACCCCCACACACCCCACCCTTTCCACACTTCCAAGCCCCACCCCCACCCCCCACGCACCCCGCCCCCCCACTGGACCCATGGCTCCTGGCCCCATTGGCTCATGGTCCACGGCCCATGGATGTGGCTTCTCAGCTGACTTTAGGGCCCCAGTGCATGCCTGCCCCTCCGCCCGCTACAGCCTGACCAAGCCCTGCGCATATATCTATATATATATATATATATATAAATATATATACATAATCCGCGGCCGGAGCCCACAGTGCCTTGGCCCCCCTTGGAGGGGGTCGGCGGCACTGGCGGTAGCCATTAAATCGGGCAGCGCGAGGTCCCCAAAGGACCGAGCAAATGCGGACCTTTTAGCCCGGGTCGTCCCGGGAATAGCCTTGCTGGCCTCTGGCCTTCTGCGAAGCAGAATTAGGCCGGACGCCAGTGCCGCCGACCCCCGCGTGCCGCCGGTGAACGGTTTTTTTTTCGTGGGTTTTTGCGTCGCCACGGAAGCCCCCAGAGGGCGCGCATCATGAGCATCAGCGGGTCCAGCCCGGGACCCCCAGGCGCGCATCAGGAGCATCAGCGGCTCCCGGGGCGGGACCCCGGGGGCGCATCAGGAGCATGATGCCCCCCAAAGGGCGGGCATAAGCGATGTGTCTAAGCCCGGGGCTAGGAAAAGGGGAGTTTAGGGGCCTTATAAAGTGCTTAGAAACTTTAAGGGAGTCTAGGAGCCTCAAACGCTTAGAGATTTGAAGGGAGTTTAGGGGCCTGAAAATGCTTGGAAACTTTGAGGGGGTTGAGGAGCCTCAAACGCTTGGAGATTTTAAGGGAGTTTAGGGGCCTCAAAATGCTTAGAAACTGCTCGCTCCGCGCTTCTGCCTGCGCTGCCCGCCCATGGGCGCAGCCCCTTAAAATAAATACAAAAACACTTGGAACTTGTAACTGTGACTTCTCAGACAGCTTGCTTGCGCGCACTCTGCACACTGCACAGCAGTTTTCCGGGTGAGGGAAGTTGTACAGGGACTCCCTGGCCTGCAGGGAGGAGAAGCTGCAGACGCCCAGGTTGATACCTCAAGGAATCAAAAGGTGCACGACGGTTTGCCCCGTTAGTTTTGCAACTCTAGGCTTAGCTTGGGGAATCTCGTGCTGGTTGGCACCCAGGACGGAACACCAGAATTTGAATCTTTGATTCGCTAGAAAAGGCAGCTTGCTCGATGAAGGCGCAGGCACTGGTTAGCGTGGAATTGGCTCTCAACGACTTCGCCAGGGCCTGAAGGAAAGAAGAGCCTACGAGCCTAAGGTATTGAACTCAAGCGAAATTCAGCACTACAAAGCGGGACTATCCAGACCTGGGCAAATGCAACCGCGACGCAGGGACTCCAGCCCTCGCATGCCGCACAAACAGGGTCCATTCAGGACTACACAGCGATTCACGTCCCACGCCGCTGGAGACGCGCCAAACACATCTCACCATGTTGCTCCAGGGCGCGGTGGAGTGGCGCTGTACGCAATTAGTGGCAGTCTCCCGGCGTTTCTGGCACGAACCGCACTAACCGCTAAGCCCAGGATCCTGTAACACGAGGGCCATGAAGATGAAGGAGAGAGAAGAAGGCGATTGGATGCATTCCCCAAACCAAACCAAAGCAAAACCAAACCATTGCAACCTCTGGACACTCCTCTTATAAAACAACCCCCGCCTTTTTGTGACCCTCTGTTCTATGGAATCCCGCAAAAGCCTCCCGAAAAGGGAACGGCCCGCTCCTGAGTTCCGTCGTCTCCGAACCTCGGGCTCTCGGCGTCGATTCGTTTCAAGGAAGCCATGGCTGGGTGCTTCAAATGCAGCCACTGAGCACAAGCAAGAGAAGCAAGAGAAGCAAGAGAAGCAAAAGAGAGACTTTCAGATTTGCTCCGCCTGTTTTCGCTGCCGCTGAGATCGATCTTCAGCAGCGGGGAGTTCATGGCCAAGACCTCCGCCAAGGCCTGACAAAGCCCGTTCGCTTCATGCGGAGCATGGAGGCCCCTCTTAAGCAAAGCACACACCTCGCCTTTACACGGGGTGCCTTTAAAGGTTCAAGGGAGTCTCTGGTCTCGAAGCCTGCCTTAAGCACCTCCAACCGCTGGCCTTCGCCCCCACGTCACCAATCTTGGTATTTGGGAGGGCCAACTTTCTCCTTGGAGGAGTCGAAGGGGATTTCTTGTTAGAGAATTGTTGTTCAAGTATCAGCCCCCTGGAGCCACTAAGCGAGATTCCGGAAATGGGATTTTTTTGGCTGTAGCGCAAAGTGTGGGCAGTCAAGTGAGGCCACCACATGTGTCATCAGGGCTGCGGACATGATTGAACCCACACGGCACCTTCTCGAAGGCAGCCCAGTTTCACAGAGGAGTTGACCTTAAGGGCGTTCGCCAAGACCTGAGAACCGAGAACACCCACCAGCTGAAGACTTCGTGTGTTTAAGTAATTAGGCATAAACTGATTGACTTCCCCGTCGTTTTTTGCGGCCTGCGCCCCGAAGTCGCCGACCTCGCAGAAGGCGAGGTCGATGTCCCGGACGGTGTCGCTGCTCCTGAGCTTCTCGGAAATCACCTGCAAACCGGGAGGGTGCGCCGGGGAGGGAAAGTACTTCAGACTGCGGTGCTGACAAAAGCAAAGCTGCCAACCGCCAGCCGTGTCATGCAGTTGGTGTTTAAACCAGCTGCAAGCTACTGTCTTTAAAAGGCATCCACACGCGGTGAAGACAAATTGTAATTGTGCTAGCGACACAACGGAATGCTTCGCTGGTCAGGCCTGCAGGTCTGTTGCTGCCACAGGGCATCGCCGAAGGTCGATGGTCGACAGGGTCTCAGCAGATGCCACCACCCTCGCCACCTCCAAAAAAAACGAACTGTAGTATGAGAGAGAACCGTAAGGCGAACACAACGGGAGGACTTGTTATGAGAAGGCAGAGCAGCAAAGTCTGTAACCACTACTGAATATATGTGGGGCAGCACTCTATATACGGAACCTGGTGTGGTATCATATATAGCCGGCTGCAGTTTTGACTTATTGCTCTCTAATTAGGTGGCTTCCAAGACATTACGCCATTCACCTACACGGATCTGTTGCGCAAGATCCTGCAACGTTGAGCACTGCAAGTGACTACTAGCTTACTAGCACCCACTCTCAGTCCATACATGCAGACTTGTAGCGAATCCGGCCCCTGAAACAGAATCTTGCACAGCTCCGGGCACATGCCTTGCGCTCTTCGAGAAGGCGATTGATCCTCTGCATCCCCTGCATCGAGGGTACATGTCATGTGCTTCTCCCGCTCATGTGCTCGATTTGGGATCTTGTGCCAGCTTTGCTGAATTCAAGGGGCTTACTTATGGCGAATGATGAGGCAGTGCATGGAATCCGTCCCATACACCTAAAGCCTAGATCATACCGCTCGAGGAAGGAAGGAGGATGAATGTGCGTTCTCGTGTTGATGTCTGCTTGCTCCAGCTTTCTTATTGCTGTACTGGTGCACCCAAGTGTGAACTTCCTCTGTCTGCAAACAGGAAACTCTGGCAACCATGGTAGAGATCTTCGTCTATTTTCATCTTGTTAACGCAAACCAGAAAGGCCTGACATCTATGTGCCGAAGATCCATCAAGCCCTTTAACGTTAAAGGCACTCAAGACTCAAGTCAAATATTCGAACACAAATATTCCAGGCCTGGCTTCTGCAATCTCCACACCAGATCTCCTCAATGATCGAGTTGACAGCAAGCATCTCCTGCAGAGCCTGCAGAATTCAATGACAAGAAAAGCGAGAAAGTCAATTCTGCATTCCGTGCCCCCCACCCCACCCCCAACCCCGTGTTCTTCTTACGGCCTTGCGCTATCCCTTGACGGTCGCTGTCAGTTCCTGCCCCTGAGCGTGTTGCTTGCATACACGTCTGTTTGTTTCAAGCGCCAAACAGCTTGCCGATTTCTGTGCTAGGTACTTGTACGCCTATTCAACCATCGAATCACTGCTCGGTTGTGGTCCAGTGATGGCAAGAATAGACTCGGTTCTCTTATGACCCATTCAGTAGCATAAGCCTGGGCCAACAAATGCAGAACGCTTGCATTAGGGAGAGGGGGGGGGGGGGGGGGGCAGGAATTTGGGTGACGAGATATGCTGATCAGCTTACCCAAACATCCGCAGCCGAAACAAAACCTGAGATCTCTTTAGCGCCTGCATGGCCTTTAAAACATGTTCGGTCTTTCAGTTCCATGATGCGGTTTCCGGTGTCGCAGCGCAGATGAAGATCTTGTCAGATTCTACTGCCTCCGTCATACATAGCCGCGTAGCGCTTACACGTGACAGCACGCTCTCTGAGCGTGTACCTCCGAACCTCCCCAGCTCACTGGATTATAGACTTGTAGCTCAAGCTGGCCTTCACCCCCACATCGCCAATGGTGTCGGGAAGGCTCAGGCGAAGAACTCCGGTGTTGATAGTCAGTGCCTTCGCAACAGCCTGCCGTGGCAGGGAACTCCCTATTTGATGCAATACAGGGGCCGTCCTTCTTGCTAAACCCTGATGAGAGGAGTCTCAACCAATCCTGCCACTTGCAAGCATGCTGGCGTGGCACCGGAGATTGAGTTCTGCAAGCCCCATCTCCTGCAATTGAGCCCCTTGACTCCATTAACAATCGCAGGCATCTGTTGAGCTCAAGCCAATATTTAAAAACAAAAACAGCCCTGCCTCTTAGTGTCGCGACTTCTGGTGAGGAGGTAAGGCAACAGTACGCCGTAGACACGGGCAGCAAAAGACATTATAATTGAAGGGAGCACTGGGTGCCCAGCCTGGGCCTTCGTCCGACATGCTACGGATGCATCCTACCACTGCATGGGATGCAGCGTATCACTGTGCTATATGCGCATATAGGGTAAGAGGGCGACAGTTCTTGTACTCCCCGGATCCATACTTGGGGGCCATACTTGGTAGCCCAGTAACCATATTCCTTTAAGGGCACCCTATTTGGGGTTGCTTATAAGGGAACCTTGAACCAAGAAAGGGAAACGGGTACCACTGGACTGCAAAGCATACTGAATTTGAGAACCCTGCTTCAAAGACTCCAGCGGTCTCGTGCCTCGATTTCCTGGTCGCTGATGTCGCGGGAGCTTAAGACGAGGTCCGTGACTGCCGAGTTGGTTCGGAGCATGTCTGCCAGGTCCTGCGATCATGCCGACTCGACACCACTGCAAGCGCTTCTCCTCATCTCAAGAACAGAAGGAGAGGATGAGGAGTTGGGGCAAGACCGCAGAAGGGAAGGCAGGCTGCAGCACGCTTTGGAGATCTTCCGAAATTCCCGCTGATGTGGAACATGTTTTGACAGTGTGGGTTTTGTTTACACCTCCGCAGTTTCCTTACTATGCCCCGGGCACTTGCTTGTTTGTGTCATTTGGTCTCGTCCTGCTTCTTTTGCAAACACAACCCCTGTGTACTCAATGCAGTATTTTGGGGCCGCTGTGTTCTGCGGTCTCCCGCTCCTGTGCCCTGGGCTCTTGCATGTTTGTGTCGCGCTCACGTGCCTGTGCAGTCTTGTGCTGGGATATGGCTTGTTAAACAAACTGAAGAATCCGCCGAGGCCTCGGGCCGGAGGTGTATAGGTTGTCAGAACAGGCACCCCCCTCCAAATCCTCCGCAAGCGGACGGTTCGCCAGGACCAGAGGCAGTTGAAGCCCCTCCCAGCAGAGCACCCCCGCCCTTTCCCCCCCCCCCCCCCCCCCCCCCCCCCCCCCCCCCCCCCCCCCCCCCCCCCCCCCCCCCCCCTGAGGGGCCTGGCTCAACTCTACGATCAATCCAAGCCGAACCGTCTCTTGAACCCTAAACCCAAAAAAACCCTAAACCCCAAAGGGTGAACCTTGAGCCCTAAGCCCTCAATCCTAAACTAACCCTCAACCCCAAACCCCAAACCATAAACCATAAACCCGGAACCCTAAACCCTAAACCCTAAACCCTAAACCCTAAACCCTAAACCCAACCCTTATTGCGCGCTGCGGAGTCACCATGCTCACGCAGATGCACTGGGCCGGGGCCGAGGCGGGTCGCGTAGCGTTAAAATTAAGGTTCGGATTTTGAAGCCCTACAGTAAGTGTTAGGACTGTTAGGATTTCATCATCAATCCTAAGCTAGGGTTTGCATCGTGGTATTTCAACACGTCTACTCCGGTGCTTTTTGACATGCATGGCTGTGCAAAACATTGCCACCCGCTCCGGAATCATCGAGAGGCAAGAGAGGGAGATAGACAAACCCATTTGATGCCTGGATCGGCGGCTTGTGCAATTGACTGTCAACGTCTTCCCCGACCTCCGTGCCAGCACAAGCAGAGCAAGCTATTGCAAGATATTGCAAGTGTGTTTCTAGGTTCGGTGGGATCTGGAACAGCTGCTCCAGAAAGCCTTCATCTAGGTCGCTTGCATACGCTGTATTGAACCACGCTGAAACGGTTACACCAGATATACACAAAAAACACCTAAACCCCGGTTTCTCCGGAGAAGAGAAATATGAGGAGCGGCCTTGATGCAGCCCAGGCTGAGAGTAGTCAAGGCAGGGGTGCTTCTCAGCATTTCCGCCACCGCCTGCGGACCAAGGTTCTGTGGCCACCGAATCGTAAACGTAGTGAATGGGAAGCGGTGGGGGTGGGGGGGGGGGCATCCCTGACATAAACCGCCGTGCTACATGATGTTGAAAGCTCTAAACACTACCCGTCCCATCGGATCCTATGCCTATGGCACATGCTCACGCAAAGAAAGCAGAATCAATGGCCCCCTCTGCGATGAGAAGCCCTGACCCCTCGGCTCGCCTCACTGCTCGCCTCACTCATTGTCTCTGGCACACCACAATGAACAACAAACTTAAACCCAGTCACACCAAACGAATGCGGAGCTTTCCGCAGGAGCCTTCGTCATGTGCATGGCAGAAGGGTTGGCAACTTCGCGTATGTGCCCCCTGTAGAAATCCAGCTGCGTCGTTGACGTAGAAAGCTCCAGCGCTTCCAAAGAAGTGCTTCTCTGGATGGCCTCTTGCGGAGATTTGCCCGTGCAGGGTACATGCTTAGCTTTCAGATGTTTACATGCAAACGAGGGGGGGGGGGGGGGGGGCAACTAGATCCACTAGGGCCCGAATCAAAACCTTCAGAGCCGTCGACGTGACAGCTTCAACACTGAGCTTTGGCAATCCAAAGGACACAAAGGCCAGCCGCTACAAGTACCAAACAATTGGCAGCACCGACGTCCGTGGACAGCCTCAGCCAGCTCTGCTGCTTCCTGCTCTCCGCACTCGAAGCGGAGGAGCTTCAAGGATCTCAAACACCTCAAGGGACCCCTTAAGGTCGCGGGTCTTGGGGTACCCAGAGTGGCTTTACGGAGTGGGCGGCTTCGTACGGAGGCGGTTGGGAAGCACGCGATATGCAATGTCGGCTGCGTGAGACTCTGGTTCGCAGCGGCCTGTAATCTGGCAAAGCCTTGGCCAGCACCGAAACCTCCGCGGCAGCCAGGTGCTCGAAGATCGCAGTCTCGCAGCCGGAAATCTTCTCCTGGTAGACCTTCGCCTTGTTTCAATGAGGCGGTTTGCCTCAGGTCTTGCTTTCATTTTCATGTCTCCCCATCTAAATTCCCCGAAAGTTCACCCTCTAGCAGGTCCTGTAGCTGCAGCACCGCCTCCAAGTCGCTCCTGTGCGTAAACTTGAGGTTCGTCCTCGCGTCGCGTGACCACTATACAAGAAAAGCCACTCGTCAGCAAGTTAGGAGTCAGAACGTGGCAGGATCCACTTCGAACATGGTCTAAAGCACTGTTCAGCCTCGGGGCATGCTTTGCCGAAAGACCTGCGGTGGCATGGGCACCTTTCCTGTCAAGGCTTCCCGGCCCAGCATTGCAGCGCCCGCACCTTCGGCACAGGAGAGGTCGATCTGCTGGTTTCGGAAGGTCTTGCTTCTGCAGCTGGACCACTCGATCTCTGCTTGGCACCAACCTCGAAGTCTGTATTTTGTTGGGTTCCGAGTCAAGCTTCTCAGCGGGATGGGCTGAACGCAGCCGCTAGGCTCATGATACACGTGGATCAAAGCATCCAGATGTTGCTCCCAAAGGGTCTCAGGTGTCAGCGTTTCGATGCGCAATGTGTAAGAAGCTTCGTGCGTGTAGAAGACATGCATGTTGGCCATCGCGGCCTTGAAGCTCTCATCTTGATGTGGAGTCCGCCGGTATTGATACAAGGAGACGTAATCCACAAAGAGCCAGATGGGCACCCCGTGGGCTGCGTGGTACAGGGAGGTGCAGTTGGCGATATGAGCTAGCTGATGCCCTTGGTGCTTGAGCAAGGACTTGACTGGCAGTAACTAGAGCCTGCTCATTTCAGTCGGAATCTTCGAAGATACAGACGCAGCCTAAACCCTGCCTATGAGTCTACGGGCCCTTAGCTGATCTCAGCCAAGGTGTCCACATGGATCGGGATGTTCCCGTGTTTCCCAGCAGTGTGACACGGCCATGATCATCGCATCGCCCTCAGAGCCCCATCCTATCACCTGAGCACACAGAGGCAGCGTCAGGGCCGTTACGGAATATGAGGCGTGAGGAGCTGCACCCCATGATGGTTACACGAAAGAGTTTGGCTTGAGATTCCGGATCTTCTTGAGCCATGATATGAAACTGCAGGGTTCAGCACTTGCCTTGCCTGTGAAACTGCAGGGTTCAGCATCTAGCACGACCTGCCCAGCCTGTGCACAAACTGATGCAGATCCTTGAGTTTGGGGTCAGATTCTGTTCTGGACTCCAGGAGCGAAAAGAAGGATGCGACAGCAAGAGCCAAACGGGCACTTCCGGGGTGCTCTAGGGCTCGAGGTTGCACCCCTCGAGGCTTACAGCAGCTGGTGCACCGAAGGTTCCTGAAAACTGGGGGTGCCCCTGCTCTCAAGTCTTGCAGGCGCAGATACACGTGTCTAAACTTCTGGAGCAAGATTTTCCAAGCCGGTGTTATGTGTAGATATATATATATATATATATATCTGATATATATATATATATGTAAGTATAGAGACGTGTGTAGTTATATAATATATATATATAGTCATTTTGTATGTATACGTATGAATACTAGTACTACGATTTCTTGCCACCTTATCTTCTACAACAATACCTCACATCCCTTGGCAGGGGCCCTGAATTTCCAGGCGCTGCCACCTCCTCTGGAGTCACCAAGGCCGGCCGGCCATCTTCGCAGACTTCATGCTCGGCCTCTTGCCTGCAAAGGCCGCCACTGTCCAGGTGCTATGAAAGGGCCCCACAAACTCGACAAATCTGTAAACCCCTGGCAACCCTCAGACCCTAAGCCCTATGAACCTTGTAAGCCCTCAAACCCCAGGGGGCAACTTTCGCCCGAACTGAACACGAAGATGCTGCTAACGTAGTTGTTTCCCTGTTTCCCCCCCTCCCCCAACTCGGTTGTTGTTTTGGCAGGGGGGTTTCAAGGCTCCAAAGAGTTGTGGAATGTTGGCTGAAAGGGAGCTTTGGGGGGCTTAGAGGCCTTGCCTTCGAGCAAAGAGCTTGCCGTTCTTGTGTAGGCTCCAGGCATACCTCGCAGCGAGCACCCGCACAACACTTCCGGAGTCTCCCAAAGCTCGTGCGTTGCTCCTTCAGAATGAGGGCTGCACCTTTGAACATTCAGAAGATTCCCTGCTCCCCCCCTCTTCAGAAGCACCAGGCCACTCTGCACGAACCAAGCGGACATTGGCTGCCAGGATGAAGTCGCGAAGAGACCTCAGGGTAGGAGGTGCGACACGCCCCCCCATCACACCTAGCAAGGCAGATCATGGGAACCCTTTCTGCTTGGAATTAATTGCAGATCACGCGCAAGCCGGACATGCAAGCTGGGGTGTTTAACCCAGAACTGATGTAGCTCAATTGGCCCTTTAACCACCCCATATCGTTGATTGCCAGGCCTGGAATCGGTCAGCTTGTACACAGCCTGGCAGGTGGGACATGAATCAGAGGGCGTGAGGTCCTGCCCAAGCCAACATCGGCCTCGGACGCCGGGGAATCCTTCCGGATCCGGGCCGAAGCCTCCTCGGGTGCTGCTAGAAGTCTGGGCTTCGTGAAGCTGCAGGGTAAATCATCATCCTGGTGTGTAAACAGACTCGGGGAACTGCACATCCGAAGTCGGGATGACATCTATGGTCCCAGAGATGCCGGAGCAGCCAGAGTCCAGACCACACGAAGGCCATTAGCTGACGAAGCAATCACGCAACATCTATGCCAAGACAACAGGGTACCGCGCCGCAAATGGGAATACGGTACAGCCTATAGATAATGCACCTGCCATCACCTACCCGATTCTACCCGGCACATGAAGCCTCAAGCTCCAAGACCCATGGCCCTATTCCCCTGAACTTCCCGAGCCCTCACCAGGAAGCCTCACCAGCTGCAGTTCGGCTCCTTCGACTCCTGCGGGCCCTTCGGCTGCCGCGCTACGAGATGGGCCTGGACCTCGCTGATCACCTGCGGAACCCCTCAAGGCTGGATTTGAGGAACCCCTCTTGTGCAGCCCCAAAACCCGACAGGACCTGTTTCCAGAAAAGGCGAATCCCTAAGCATGAGGGTCTTCGCTGCAGCAATTGCCTGGCCAATAAAAAACATGGGCCCTCTCTCCCAAATGCCTGATACTGTACCAGATATTCCAAAAGGCCTCGGGGAGCTCTTTAGGGACAAGAAGCAAGAAAAGGGTGACCAACTCACAATGCTTACACAAGTGAGAAATAGAGAACACTTCAGCCCGCGAGCGTTCTCATACAGAGATTTTTGATATAGCTGATAAGCGCTTATGCTTGGTACGTGTAACTAAAGGTAAGACTCATCTCCAAGCCAACTCAGTACCCACGTTGGTGCTGATGTTATGGTTCTTTCTCTTTGTATGTGTTTGTTGACTAGGCTCTCCTCATTCAACGTGTTTGCTTTTCCGAGGAATAGACTTCGGAATGGACAATGAGAGAGGAGTGTCCTCCACAGGTGGCAACCTGAATACAAGATATCCACGCCTGTTGTGGACCGCCACCCTTCCGATTTGCAGTGCACTTGAACTGCTAGCAGCAGATGTGTGTAGGGGAGGGCCGACATGAAGCTGCTCAGGTGATTCTGACATTGGTTGCTGCAGCAGAATGAATATGACCACGACGCTGAAATGAAGCAGAACTTTGTTTTTCTGATTCTATATACAAGCCTCACTCACTCTTAGGTTTTCACTGGGAGGACCGACCATCCAAAGACAGCTTGCAATGAAAATGAAAGGCCCTTTCAGGTGTTTCATGAATCTCAGCGATGCAGTGTGCCTTCTCTTCCATCTCTCCCCCATTGCCGTCGAGGCTTAGCTTCTTGAGACTCGAGTTGACGGCCAGCACTTCCTGGAAAGCCTGTTCAACAAGACTTCTGCTGAGCTGGAAACGGGATCCCTTGCGGAGGGGTGCTATGTGATTAGGAGGTTCTCGCGTGTGAATGAAGGACTTCACTATAAGTCTTACGATTGCAGAAATGTCTCTGTCAAACTCACTGGGCTGGGCCAGACTTCTACTGGCTTGTCTCTTGGCAGGCTTCCACAGCCCCAGGACTCTCTACTTCTCGCGTAGCCCGTAGAAAATCACAGCATCTTCTGCTGCATCCCAGATCCCGATGGGAGGAACTCATCATGGTGAAGCGGGTGAACTGCTTAAGAGCTGTCCAAAACTGGCCGGAGCTGAAGAAGAAGCTTCAAGAAGCTTTCCTCTGGCATGTGCGATAGATGCCCGGTGTTGGTTTTTTCTTGCACTTTGCCAGAGACGACGCACATTCAGTAGCAAGGAGCAAGCGCAGAAGCAGTCGCAAACCGAATACGTATGGGAATAGGACTGCGGATGCGCGAGAGTCGAGGGTTGACAGGGCTGCGTATATGTGACGCATCGCTTGGACAGTGCTCAGGCCTGCAATCCACTCATCCCGCAGCCTGACAAGTCGAGGTCCGTAAGAGTGGAGTTGAATCGCAAGCAGTCCACCAGGGCCTGCGACTTCGTAAAGACTTCGTTGCGGTGCTGCTTTTCTTTTTTGAGGGGGGGGGGGGGGTTTGAGTCGGAATGCCACAAGTGCTTGGGCATCTTGGGGTTCGTGCTTGGATCCTCTGTCATGTACTTCAAGGTCGAAGTCTCATCATCCCCCCAAATGAAGCCCGCAGAGACATGCTTTCTTACATAGAGTACCCCTGTTTTTTTGAAAGGAGGCTGCGCCTTTGTTGGGATGCGTCTCATGGGAAGGCCTTGGCGCCACGGTCCCCGGGAAGATTGCGGGAGAGATCGAGCTTCAGCAACGTGCCATTGCCTCTCAGAGCTCCCGCGATGGCCTGATGTTTTGTTGGCTTCGTGTTGGGAGTTCGGAAGGAGTTCTTTTATCTGTTGTTGCAGATGCCTTGCTGTTTTTTGGGTTGTTTAAACTCGGGTTGTCAGTAGTCTAGGGTCACGAATTGACTGTTGAGACTGTGAGTGCGGGACATGACTTCACTTGGCCAGGCCAGGGCCGGTGAGGGCTACTGGCGTTCCAGCAAGGACCTTAGGATTGTAATAAGTTATGGATCCCTTGCTTCCTCCTGAAGCCGCTTGATTTAGCCGAATGGATGGCACCCACGGAACAGTATGACAACAAAAACATCCAGTGTGCATTTTTGCTTTGCGTTTGTTGTAGAGAGTCCCACACCCCTCCGGCAGCAGCCCAGCCTCGAAGCCGGCGCCCCGAATCAAATTGCTACCTGGGACACTGAACAGGCTGGGTGAATCTATCCATGCAAACCAAATCGCAACCCAGAGCAAGCGCAGCTCTGCCCTTCACTTCAGCGGCATCTTCGGGGCAGCAAAACCCCGATATCCATAAAGCGAGGAGGTACCTGATCGATTTGGGGTTGTATAAAAACCCCGCTATAAATCCATTCATCCGTTCTAGGGTTATCGTTTTTTCTTCTTGATTATCGTTTTACAGGGTTTTGTGGAACAACCTACAACTTCATGCCTTAGAACCGATAATTTCGTTGATTGTAGCTGGAACCGCCGTCCCTGTGAGCTGGCTGGTTTTTCGTTGATTTGTAGTACAAGGTTAGTACTGGAACCGCCGTCCCCGTGAGACGGCGGGATTTTCATTGGTTTGTAGTACAAGCTTAGTACTGGAACCGCCGTCCCCGTGAGCCGGCTGGATTTTCGTTGATTTGTAGTACAAGCTTAGTACTGGAACCGCCGTCCCCGTGAGCCGACAGGATTTTCGTTGATTTGTAATACAAGCTTAGTACTGGAACCGCCGTCCCCGTGAGCCGGCTGGAGTTGATTTGTAGTACAAGCTTAGTACTGGAACCGCCGTCCCCGTGAGCCGGCTGGATTTTCGTTGATTTGTAGTACAAGCTTAGTACTGGAACCGCCGTCCCTGTGAGCCGGCTGGAGTTGATTTGTAATACAAGCTTAGTACTGGAACCGCCGTCCCCGTGAGCCGGCTGGAGTTGATTTGTAGTACAAGCTTAGTACTGGAACCGCCGTCCCTGTGAGCCGGCTGGATTTTCGTTGATTTGTAGTACAAGTACTAGTGTCGCCTGCCTGCCGCGATGCAGCAATCAGGCCGTTTTATAACGTTATCGTTTTTTATTCTTGATTATCGTTTTACGAGTCAGGAGCACTGCCCCAAACGCTTAGGGCAGCTCCTTTCACAAATTGAACGCGCGGGGTTTTTATACAACCCCATTTGGAACCTTGGAACCTCGGAATGCCCAAAGGAGGGGGGGGCTCGCAGACGACACCACAAAACTTTAGCACCACAGCCTTTTTTCCTGTTTACGCCGGATGCTTGCGACCGGATCCCCGCCCACAAAATCCGAGAAGCCAAGGTCCAGGTTCGTCACGGAGCAGTTGATGGCAAGCGCTTCAGCCAGGACCTTCTCAGCTTCAGCCAGAAGAGCCGCATGTTCAACCGTGGGGGAGCTTTGTGAAACAGAACAAGAGGCCCCCAGGCGTTCCGCTCCGTTTCGGCGGGGGGTCCCGTTCGGGTGCCTCTCCCTTCTGGCTCCTCTTACCCGTTCTGTTCCAGCTTGGGCTGAAGAATCTCATGTCCCCACGTCTACAAAAATTCAACCCTGCGGCAGGAATCCGCCGACCCCGACAAGCTGGGGGCGAGCGCTAGTGAAGGGCTTTTTCCGCTCTGTTTTTGGTCCCCTGTACCCCTTCACTCAGGCCTACCCCTCTAACCTCCCGACCCCCCCCCAAAAAAAAAAAACTACAGTTCTTCTGTAACGGGGATTTAGCCCATTTGGTCGCGGCATTTTTGGCGCTTCCCCTGTACCCCTTCACGCGACCCCCCCCCCCCCCCCCCCCATTTTGCCCCCCCCCCCCCCCCTACCTCCCGCCCCTACACCCGACAAACCCGACCGCACCCCCCGCGCCCATCCCAAGCCCCCCCTCCTCCCCCACCCCCCCACCCCTCCAGCCCCGCAGCCAACCCCCCAAAAAAAGCTAAAGTTCTTCCTTATCTTGATTTATATATCCACACCAGCCACCCCTTAAAAAAACGCTAAAGTTCTTCTTTATCTTGATTTAGCGTCCCATTTGGTCGCGGCATTTTTGGCGCTTTTGGCGCTTCCCCTGTACCCCTTCACGCCTACACCGACCCCACCCCGCCGCCCCCCCCCATCCCGACAAACCCGATCCCACCCCGCCGCCCCCATGCGTCCCCATGCCCCCTCCTACCTTTCCCCCCCCCGCCCCCCCGGTGCAGTGATTCAACCCCTTGCAAGCCCTCTATTGAGAGGGCTCGTTTCTCCTGTTGTCTGTTAAATAGGACCCTGTAAACTCTCAAGCCCTGCAGTCCTCAGAGTCCAGACCTCAAGGCCCTGCAGTTTCTGGTTTAGGGATCCAGCCCCTAGCCTCCACGTTTAAGGAACAAGGCCCGGCAGTCTCTTGCTTTTCGCTCCAGCCCTAGTCCCTCACAAGCCCTCTGCCTCTAGCGCTACTCCTGTTTTTGTTTTCATAGACCCCTGTAAGCTCTCTCAAACCGCTACAGTCTTTAGAGTTGAGGCCTCAAGGCCCCGCAGTAGTAGTCTCTTGCTTTGAGCTCCAGCCCTAACCCCCTGGAGCCCTAAACTACAGACTGCAGGGCCTTGAGGCCTAAACTCTAAAGACTGCAGAGGCTTGAGAGAGCTTACAAGGTATTTAATAGAAACGAGACAGGGCTTGTGGGGGGTTCGGGCTGGTGCCCCAAGCAAGAGACCGCCGGGCCTCGTTCCTTAAACGTAGAGGCTGCAAGGGCTGGAGCCCTTAATTACTAGAGACTGCAGGGCCTTGAGGCGCCTAGACTGGGCCTAGACGTTCAAGATTGCAGGGCTTGCGAAAGCTTACAGGACCCTCCCTACCCCTCCCCACCCCCCCCCCCCCCCCCCCCCCCACCCCCTAAAAAAACGCTGTTCTTCTTTATCTTGATTTAGAAGTTGGAACCCCTACACCCGACAAACCCGACCCCACCCCGCCGCCCGTGCACCTGTGCATCCCCATGCCTCCTACCCCCCTTTTGCCATGCCCCCCCCTCCACCCCCCCCCCCGCCCGCCCCAGCCACCCGCTAAAAAAACGCCAAAGTGTTTTTTAATCTTGATTTGGTTGGTTTGATTTGGTCGCGGCATGTTTGGCGCTTCCCTGTACCCCTTCACCCCCCCCCCCCCAAATGCGTCCTATGCCCCTCCTATACCCCCCCCCCCCCTTTTGTCATGCATCCCCCCTAGCCCCCCCCCCCCCCCCCCCGCCCCAGCCACCCCCTAAAAAAACGCGACAGTTCTTCTTTGGTCGCGGCATTTTTGCCGCTTTCCCTCTACCCCTTCACTCGAACCCCTACACCCCACAAACCGGACCACACCCCTCCGCCCCCCACCATGCCTGCCCTTCTACTCTCTCGCTGGAGTCTGCCGCCTTTTTCGGGGTCGGCGGAAGCGGCGTTAGCCCTTACATAAGTTTCGAGCCCTCAGCTGCCCCTATGGGTCCCATTCCTTGTTTACTCACAGCCACCTTTAAAATCAGTTGCCGGGCCCCGTTGTCCCGTTCAAGTTCGAGAAAGGTACGCTGTCGTGCCCCGCGTTTTGCATGTGTGTTGCTTCAATTTTAGTTTGTCTGCGCCATTGCCGGAAGTCTGTTATAGAAAAAAGAGAAAAGAAACTTTCCGATGTGTTTTGGTTGCTCTTGCTTGGTGTTCCGTGGGTTTAACTATTTGTGAGTCTCGACGAACTACGCTCCGGATATTCATATAACCTCATCGACCTCATCCCTACAAAAATCACATAAACCGCGGGACCACTCAAAGAGGGACCAAAATCAGCTCCGACTGCTCAGGCTCAGGGGGCTGCGAGCACTAAAGCAGGCGAAACATGAAACCCTCTATAGACCCCGAAACTTTGCTCGCATGGAGCAGCAAAGGGGATGAAAGGGGATCACCGGCTTTGCCTCGGCCCCGCTGTTCTTGATTCCGTAGCCAGCAAGACCGAAACAGGTCCTGAAGTGAAGGATCCCTTTTTCAGGGGGAGAAGCCCCTGAAGAGGGGATGAAGCCCCTTTTCGAGAGCTGAGTTCGATGCACATGTATGGATTCCCCTGCTTAGAGCCATCTTCCCTAGTCTGTGTGCTGCAGCCCCGAGTCCAGATTCGGTGTGAGAACGCTCTCTGTCCAAAGCTCAGACGTTCAGCGCCCAACATCTTAAAGCAACACTAGCTGCGTTGAAGTGTCAAGCTGGAATTGACCAAGAGCATGCCCGCAAGAGCCTCTACAGCTTCTGAAGGCGCCTGGCAAGTTGAAAGGGTGGGAGGCACACGACCAGAGCGTCTTTCAGAGACCTTGTTGGCCTTTAAAGTCTCCTCCTGCTCTTCGGCTCATTCCCCGAAATGCACAAAAAGTAAAGAAGTAAACTGCTAAAGCTCGCTCAGTTGATATCAGGGCTAGAAACAGCTTCTACAAAACAGATGCCCAGCGCCTCATCAAGCGACTCATCACTCTCGATTCTCCTGATAGATGCCGCTGGAGACCTTGCTATGCTCCGAAACATTGCTGTTTAGTGGTAGCCGGGCGCCAGCCCGACCACCAAACATGGCTGGTGCAAGAGTGGACCTTGAGATGGTGCATCATGTGGAGATGTGCGAGCCTATACAGGGCGTACCTGCCTTCCGACGGACCGACTGACAAACCACCAACGATGAAGATGATGCCTTTGAATGGTTTTTTCAAATGGGCATCGCCATGTGAGCGCGCCTCTCGCCTGTCTCGCACGGCGGCAACTCGTCGACGTCATCTGAGGAAGCGCCTTCGAAAAAACTTTCAGCTTCGCCAACCTGGCATTCCCTTTCTCCAACATGCTCCACGACGTGCCTGTGAGAAGACTTCCTCGCCCGAGAGCAAGCTCCTTGGTTAGAGTCTGTCACCCTCTTCAGCAGGACCATCATGAAGCGACTCAAAACCAAGCCGATGATTAGAAAGTTCAGAGTTGCCCCCTTACGAGATTCTCCTCCACCCTTATTCCATGAACTTAAAGTAATGCTAGCCTGCACTTTGGTGTTGTTCAGCGCTTAAAAACGCTGCAGCCGCGGCATTTGCGATGGCTGCTTTTGGGAGGAGTGTTGCACCAGGGGTTGAAGGCTCGATGCAACACGGTCTTTGCCAGTCTTACCTCCTCCTGAGGCCATGACGCTGCTGGCAACCTCGCACGCTACCTCAAGCCGGAAGCACTCCCCAGAGTCACACACGAGATCTTCGGGTCAATTGCGGGCAAAACTGGTATCACGTGCTTGCGAGCTCTCTCTCTCTCACACACTCACGTTCTAGGTGCGACCTTTCTATTTGACCTTGCCACTTTGCAACGCAAAAACTGACTGATTTTACATATTGCTGCCTGTGTAAGGATGCTTTTGCAAGTTTTGTCGCCCTTATTTTTCCTTGCCCCGATCCAAGTAACTAAATGACACTGGAACTGCTGTAGTGATGTGGCGAGAGGATGAGAGATGCAGGCCTTCTCAAGGGCCTCCCTGCGATGCAAGAAGATGCGGTAGATCTCGTCGGCCACCTGTCCGAAAATCTTTCCAATCCTGCGGTCCTATACGGTCTTATGATCTCTTTCCAATTTCTTGTGCCTTATTCCTCTTACATTGCGAGTTCTGCTTCCCTGTCTCCCTCGCCCAGGTTCCTCTTTGTCTTCGAGTTGCTGTTGTTTGTGGCCACGCTGGTTGCCCGATGTCGCCTGGCTCTCCCAATGTGAAATGGTCATGTGATGACCATCACATTGTGATGTTGCACAAAGGTACAAAGGTCCTCGATGCGCACACTAGCAGGCTTTGTGTGGGAAGGTCTGCTCATACCAGGACGCACGGACTCCTCTGACGAGCACCAGAGCGCAAGAGTTTGCCTCAGCCCGGCTTCGAAGTGACTCGTCGACTTCCTCAATGGCCTGGCACCCAGGGGCCAGGGCCAAGGGATCTTTCTCGAGGACCTCTCTCGCCTTTGCCTGTAAGACGAAGCTTTTCTGGGAGGGGGCGTCCGAAAAATATCGCAAGAATTCAACATCCCTCCGAAAGCCTAAGTTCGCAAGCATTCACTAACTCCACAAGAATTCTGCTATGGTGAGCTCATGCTATAGAGAATATGCTTGAGTGGTGCAGCAAAGCTCTGCTGATTACGTCTGGGTGTCCTCGGCGGTGGCAGCGAGGGCTCTTTGGAACGAGGTCACCGCACGGAGGGCCTGGAGCCGCACCTGAAAGAAAGGTAGCAGGTGGACTGAAAGAAAGAGATACAGAGAGACAGAGAAAAGAAAGAAGACTGGGTCTCGCCTGTTCGGTCTGCTTCACTCCTCTGTTTATCTCACTCTCTATCTCTAGCAGCTGTCCATCTACCAATGCATCTCTCTGCGTGCGTGTGTGTGTGTGTGTGTGTGGATGCACGTGTGTATGCGCTTGAACCCCGGTGGACTAGGGATGTTCCTTCGACCTGTGCGTGGCTCGTTGTCCACACACATCTCTCTCTCTCTCTCTCGCTCGCTCGCTCGCTCACTCTCCAACAGAAATAAATAACCCAAACGATGCCAATGATGTGAAGTAGAGCCCACATGTCGAACTGATGAACCAGCAATAAATTCCGATCTAAAGACAAACGTAACGAAACATCGCTTCTTTCCACCAAACAGGAGCCCCTTTATCCTGCAACCTCCCCCCTTCCTCTTCGCGTCTGCACGGTGGGCCTCTTGTGGCGACGCCATCCGGCCGGGCGCTGATGATTGCTGGCTCAACTTTGTTTGCTCAGCACCGAACTGTTTTCTGCTGATGCTTGTTCGAGGTTCATTGTTCAAACAAGCAGTGGCTTGCATCGTCTCCATTTTGGTCGGCTGCTGGTTATGAGAACCTCTGGGCTGCGCAAAGGCGGCACATCGACAATCCCAGTTCTGAAACAAGAGACTGGAGATCACCGATTCCTTCTCATTCTGTTCCAAGGCAGGCGACGCCAAAAGCCCCCGAAGCGTCAGAACGAAGCAAGAAACACATGCATGTAGGCACATGCGCGAATCGGACCAGTCATCGCAAAGCTGCAACAACGAGCCCACCAATCCTGGAACGATCACTGCTGCCCAGCCACCCGAACCGGCGCCTGATCAGCCAAGCTCTGAGAATAAGGAACAACCACCCGGACAAGAGTCGCTTGGTGTTCCTGTACCGACAGTGCCCCAATTTGGAAATTTTCCACCCTGGCTGTCTGACAGTGTTTTGATAATGTAGGACGGGGGCCGCACTTAGGCGTTCTAGGCGCAGAGTGCGCCGCGGAGCGCTCCGTGGAGAGCCATGCACAGCCACGCGACTCCTAGGAGCCTGTACTTTCAAAGCCCTCTCAAGTTGAGTGGTTCCCGTAACTTATCAGAATCAGTATTGTGTTGAGGAGGCCTTGGCTCAAGGCAGGATGGGATCTTCGCGTGTCCCCCAATGCAAAGAAAACGACATGCAAACTCTGAAACTACGGTTGGGGAATGTTGGGGAGAGCCCTCCGAGATTTTTAGGCGCCAGCTCCCCAATCATTCTGGCTACGTGGTTTCCCCTTGAAGCAAAATATCGAATGAAGGCCTCAACTGCCGCCCTATCGGGTCGCTGAAGTCTTTTGCAGTCAACTCATCGCTTGGAGAGCTGATGCTGCGCAAAGGCCCGTGGACATCTGCATCACTGACAATGGTACCTCGGTACCTCTGAGAGCAGAAGGCGTGGGATTTCAGAAGTTCAGAGCGAGGCAAAGGACTCCTAGGCCTATCCTCTTTGCTGATATGGGATGGGTGTCTTAAGGGGTTTCGTTGGGACTCGGGGCAGCAGTCGAGTACGGCTGCTTCTGTTCCTGTTCAGCACTCGTCGAGCTCGGAAGCCCCGCGGGCGTAACAAGCGGCGACTTCCGGACTGTTGCTCTGTTTGAGCAAGGAGACCTCGCATCCCGTTCCACTACCAGCTAAAGCCATGAACGTGTCGAGCAGCTTTGGCCCAAGTACATTCACACGTGCACGACTTGCCTTCCTGTCACTGTCCGACCGCTGCCTCACTCATCTCGAGATTGCGCGATCATAAGCCTCGTGACAGCATCGATCTCATAGAGCCAGGGGAGGATGATGCAACTCTGATGGCAGCTCTGCCTGCAGGTCTCGTTAGGCTCCTCCGATGACAGCAAGCATGAACACCGTCATTGCCACGGAACATGCCCCAAAGCCAGATGCGTGTGACACCAGGAAAGGGCCCTCACAACATGCATCGCCGTGGACCTTGCAGTAGGACCAGGAGCTGTACGAAGTCGAGCTTTGACCAAAAACTTTGTTGCACAGCGCGTTGCATTCATCATAAGAGGAGACAGCAGTACATGGAGTTGCTCTTGTGGGAC